TTTTTTCTTCTTCTCCATGGATTCTAAAACAGCCTAAACTTATTTGGGCAAGCCTTTGCTTAAGATATTTCTTCTTTTCGTTGTGTTGGCATCTGTCTCCAATATGTCATTTGTAGTGTTCCTACCTAACATCATTCCAGGATACCATCACCCTCCTAAATTTTCTAGGCGAAAAGAGTTGCTGAGGCCCAACTCAGTTAGTAATCTGTTACTTAGTTAATTCAAATGGGCAAAAGTGGACAGGAGTGGGCAAGTCATCTGTGTGACTGAAAACTGGCAGAGCTGTTCCCTTGTCCTTAAATGCTCTGAACATGGATGCAGCTGTCAAACACGCAGGACCTCTTATGGAAACCAGTGAACCTGTCATCATGACTTAACAACCGCTCTGAACACTTCATTGAACCCTTCAGGAAACTAACCTACCACTGCGGAGAACGTGAGTAACTTAGAAATGCTGCCTCAGGAGCCATTGCTGCAGTCACAGCCTCTCCAGGAAACTGGCACAAACCTTGGAAGCCTCCCCTCCACACAGTGCACACCTGCTTACACTCCCGATGACCCTGTTCCTGTTCGTACTGCTCTGGTTTTCACTCAGACTCTACCAGTGATGCCCATCTTGTGAATCAGCAAAAAGATTCTGTTTACTCCCTATACTGAGGCTTATGATTGGTCTTTATGTAGCTTAAGAATTTTAAACCGAGCCAGGCGGTGGTGGTACTCACCTTTAATCTCAGCACTTGGGAGGCAGAGACAGGTGGATCTCTGTGAGTTTGAGAGTTTGAGGCCAGCTTGGTCTAAGGAGTGAGTTCCAGGACAGCCAGGACTGCTTCAGAGAAACCCTGTCTCAAAAAAAAAAAAAAAAGGAATTGTAGCTTATGGAATTACAATTGAACAAGTATGCTGCATGCATGTCCTAGTTAATATAAGCAGGCTGTTTTTTATTCTTGTTGGGTTAGGCTCAAGGCTTTTCCTATGATATACCCCATTCAAGCCTCAGCTGAGACCATAAAAAATGTTTCCCCAAAATATTCTTTTTCCCACAAATAGTCCTTATCATGGGCAAAGCAGTCTGAGCTGGATGTGTTAAATTTCAAAGAAACACCACTAGGAGAGAGCTGAAGAATTCTAGAGAGAAACCAAGGGCTGAACTTGCAAAAAGCTAAGAAGAATAATGGAAGTATTGAGAAGGTAAAAGATCACCAAGATGCAGAGGCAGAAAAGCTGAGTGGATGAAAGAGCGGAAGCTGTGAAGAACCAAAGATAGGAGCTGAATTTCAAGAACTGAAAGCCCTGGTTGCAAGAAGAGTTTGAGAAAGCCAGTGAGGAGTGAAAGCCCAGCTGTCTGATACCCAAACTCCAAATCTGTAACTTTCACCCCTGCTTTTGGTTCTATGCACTGGGCAATAAGCTTATGCCACCAACACTGACAGCAATACGCTTCAAGCTTTGACACTGTGAAGCCATATGCCTCTAACTCTCAGTGCTTAAGAGGTAAATAAGACACAGAGTTTGAAAGTCCAGACTGTAAGTCTCTGTAACTCGTGGCGACCAATATTAAGGAAACTTCTCTGTTGTTTTTGCCTTGATTCCTGTGTGGATAAGAGTAAAAGAACTCTGAGGTATAACACCAAAATTAAACAAATAAAAGTGAGAAAACCTCAGTCATCGGGTTTTGATGAAGCTGGAAGGGAAAAAGCAATGAACACGGAGAGCTGTTGTTTGAGAGAGCCTAAGCTCTCTGATCTACCTATAAATGGTAACTCTTCACAGCTTCGAGAGCGTAGATCTTAACGGAGTTCATAGTAAAAGGAGGAGAGCAGAGCAAAGCAGGAGACAGTTAGAGCGTGGCATGCTACAACACAACTGGAACTAATTCTAAACCAAAGCACAAGTGTGCATTCATTTGTCTCTCAGTTATTCCTGGTCATCACCTCTATGTGATTAGGACTTTCAAGACTGAGTCTGTGACCGAACCAGTCTTGGTGGCTCATAATTGTAATCCTTGCATTTGTGAGGATGAGGCAGAAGAATTATCATGGATTTGAGGCAAGCCTATGCCACAGCCTGCTGCAGGGCAGCTTAGGCCATAACATGAGACTCCAACTCATCAAATAAAAAATAAAAAACATTAAAATTTTAAAGAATATTAGTATTAATATTAAAAATACTCTATACTTTACAAATTTAAAAACCATCCTTATTATTTAATGTCATGAACATAAATCAATTATATTGAATAATTAACCTAAATATTTTAAATAATATTATTCCTTTTTTAAAATCCCCTTGTATAATATAAGAATATGTAAAAACCAAAAAAGAAAATGTAAAAACAATAACTTATTTCCAATCTGTTAAAATTTAATGATATTTCTATAATGAAGAAATAATGTTATTTTTTCTTCTTAGCACTTTTTTTTTTGTTTTTTGATACAGGGTTTCTCTGTGTCGCGTTGGCTGTCTTGGAACTCACTCTGTAGACCAGTCTGGCCTCAGAGATCCACCTGCCTCTACTTCCCAAGTTCTGGGATTAAAGGTGTGTGCCACCACTGGCAGACTTTTCTAGACCTTCTTGTCTGTTTTTATTTTTGTGGTGCTTTTATATTGTGGGCACGTGTGTGTGCTGTACATTTTCATGCGGCTGCAGGCACACACGTGTCACTGTGCACATGTGTGTAGGTCACGGGACAACCTCAGGTGTCAGGTCACACTTTCCCCCTTATTTGAGATAAGATTCCTTGTAGTTCCTGTGGCTTACTACAGGGTATCTGGCTTGCAAGCTCCTGGGGGTTCCCTTGTCTCTGCTTCCATCTCACTGAAGAGATCTAGTACTGCAGATATGCACTAGATCAGCCAGCTTTAGGGGCTCGCTGAGGCTAAAGGAGCAATCACGGAGCCTGCATGGATCTGCACTAAGTCCTCTGCATACATGCTGTAGTTGTTTAGCCTGGGGTGTTTGTGAGACTGCTAACAATGGGAGTGGAGCTGTCTCTGAATACTTTGCCTGCTCTTAGGACCATTTTCCTCCTATTGAGTTGCCTGGTCCAGCCTTGATAGAAAGGTTTGTGCCTAATCTTATGCACCTTGTCATAAGACTTGTCATGCCATTGTATGCCATACTCGGATTAAATGTTTGCTCCCCCAATGCCTAGCTGACAGCCAGTCTTGATCTCTCTTAGTACTCTGAGGTTAAGTGACATTTTTTTGGTTCTATGGTTTTGTGGCATTAACGACATTCCTATAACTTCTAATTTTATTTATTCATCGGAAACATCATGTTTGAGATTAATATATCAGATAATGTTCATTATATATTTTCTTCAAAAAGAAAAAGATCCAACCTGTAGCAGTTGCAACAAAAATCTGTTTCCACTTCTACTGATGTTGGGCAATATTAATAAAAGGCTAGGCTAGAATCATCTGGCTATCTCTGATTCTTAATTCTTACTAGTCCACATTACTCATTCCTTATCCTTCCCCATTATGTGCCAATGCTAAATATATTACAAATTTTATACATTTTCTCTTTTTAGGATTGCTGTCTTGTTTCAAAATACCATTACTTATCTCTGGGACCGTTGAATTATTTATTAGTAATTCATATGAGATGATGTACAGAGGAATCTACTGAGCATTATTCTATCATTAGAATGTCAAATTAATTGTAAAGTATAACTTTAACTTCTAAGATTCTGAAGTTACAAGAATAAGAGGAGCCAGGTGTTCTGGCATACACCTTTAATCTCAGCACTGGGGAGGCAGAGACGGGAGTATCTTTGTGAGTTCAAAGCCAGCCTGGTCTACAAAGCCAGTTCCAGGACAACTAGGACTTTTAGACAGAGAAAAATTTGTCTCAAAAAAAAGAGTAAGAGGGAAATCCATATATTTAAAGTATGATGACTTCATTTTCCCTCTTCGCTTCATACTTTGGTATCCAGATAGTGTTCAGAGTTTGTTTTTTAGTAATTCTATAATTTCTTTAAGTTATTAAGAATCTTATGGTGAGATTAATCTAAATAAATTTTCATATTATATAGTTAGAAATTAATAGTTCAAGATTCCTTAGCTAATGATAAAATTTTACACTAGATGGTAATGTGAATCAGCTCTTTACCTCTGCCTCCACGTTCTTTATCCATTTGTATTAATACGTACATATTAATGTTCTGAAGAGGGAACTCACTGTTGATGACTAAAGAGGTTTCTTCCCTCACAGTGAGGATATTGAGCACTATTGATAGGAGATTGTTTTCCTGCTGAGGACATTACAAATGGTGGGCCTGTCTGGACTGTAAATGTTCTCCTGATATAGACAATCCTTTTCTGAAGATTCTTATCTTTGAAGCCGATTAAGTATAATAAACTAGGACAAACAATATTATTTCCATAAGGCAACTGATTTGATAATTACCTAGGTAGCTGAGAGCCACTTGTATTTTACGTTTTGTTGTTGTTGTTTGTTTGTTTGGCAGTCAGGGCTAGAGTGTGGATAGGCTACTATTACAGTGCTCAACATAATCTTCAACAACAAGTATTTATCCAAAAGAATCTATTCTATCGATGTGGAGAAATGAAATCTTTCTGGTTATTTTTTCAGTCTATCAATGTGATGTCCTTGGTTTTTTTTTCAAATTTTTTTCTTTTTCTTTTTTATGTGGCATGTGTGTGTTTATGTACTGAGGGAATAGAGCCCATGGCCTTGTGCATACTAGTCAAGTATTCTATCACTGAACTATACCTCTCACTATTGGTTTATTTAAAGATAAATATCATAATTTGCATTTTCAACAGATTTAGAAGCAGATTTTTTAAATGATTTTAAAGTACATTTATTGATAAACATTTTATACCACTATATTAAATAGTTTTTCTTCAAGATAGTGGTGAATACTATTTTATAATATAATCAATAGTTGCTTAGATTCTGACTGAAAATAGTTCTGTTTATTACTGTATATACAGGTGTATACATGTTACTCAAAATTGTTTTTGTTTTTCAGATCTTTCCAGAAATCGCTTTACAGAAATTCCTTCAGATGTGTGGTTATTTGCACCACTTGAAACATTAAACCTATATCATAATTGTATCAAAACCATTCCTGAAGCCATTAAGAATTTGCAAATGTTAACATACCTTAACATTAGGTAAGCAAACAATTTTTTAAAAATAAAAATTTTCAGGTCTAGAAAGATGGCTCAGCAGTTAATAGAATAGGCTGCTGGTTTCAGAGGACTAGGGTTTGGTTCCCAGCACCCTCGTATTGGCTCATAACTACCTTTACCTAGTTTCCCAGAATTCAGTCACCTCTTCTGACCTCCTCAGGCACCAGCATGATGCACATACATGCATGCAGGGAAACACTCATCAATATGAATAATAATAATTAATAATAGTAATAGTAAGTCTTTAATAAAATTTTTTTTTAGTCTTTAATCACTTTTAATAGTAAAGGAATGTATTTTGTTTATGCTCAAATTGTTTTGTAGGCTTTTGGTCTTGTTCTTTAAGTCAATGTTTCTCAAAGTTTTGTACACAAGAATTGTCTGGGGATCCTATTAGGTCTACTGAGGGACCTACATTTTCTAAACGGTCTCTTGGTAATTCACCTGCATGTGTGCTGGTCATTAGATCTCACTTTGAGAGGAAGGCTTTAGAACATAAATATTTTCCTCATTTGTTGCCCAATTGTCTGAATTCACTTATATGGCACTCTAGTTACAGTCAAACATTATAATGAAACGCATTTTAAGTAAAGTTTTATCTCTTGTGATGTTGCCAGTTTAAGAATGGGTAAATTGGGATGGAAGGTTGGAAAGTTTGCAAGTGGATGAGATGACAGAACATCTTTATGCTTAACATGTTTTTTTTTCTTTCAGTGATAGGATCAACCTAGGTTGTTGTGCATGCTAGGCAAGCATTTTATCACTGGATGACAGCCCTAGCCATTTTATGCTTAATATGGGTTTATTATGTACTAGGCATCATTGCAAGTGTTTGACCCATATTACCTCATTTAATATTCCAACATCATTAAGAGATAGGTCATATTATTTCTATATTCCATATGAGAAAACTGGGTTAAGCTGTTTGCAAAAAGCCATATATTCATACAGATGTTCTTCTGTGTCATGGGAGAATGACATTCCTGAAAATACTAAAGTCCACCAATATTCAATCAATATTCAGTTTCCTTTCATTAAAAGGTATAGTGTATGGAGAATTGTAACTGGAACATAGGATGTTATACATTTCAAAAGTCCTTTGAGGATTATTAATTGAAGAGCATTGTCCTTCCCTTTTGTTACACACATACATACACACACACACACACACACACACACACACACACACACACACACACACACCCCAAAAATAAGCAAACAAACAAACAAAAAAACCCTTTAAAGCCAGTCTAGTATTTCTGGAAATTCTCTGCAGAGATAAGATGGGGTGAAGAATCTTGTCACACCTCCCCATTCTTGCTTGAATAACACAGAGCTTTTGTCCCTATATACATTATATAAAGCGCTAGGTACAGGTCTCTAAATGCTAATTTGAAAAATAGAGAAACAATGATAGCTTATTGCTTGTCAGCGCTTGCTAGTATATAACTGGAATGTTGTCTTTTCTATATTTTTGGTTTTGGCATATTTTGTGTCAGTCTGTCTGCATTTGACAATTGAGTATAAAACATGAAGGGTAAGGATACCAAAGCCAGATTGACCAGTTTTCAACCCAGGCTCTCCTTATCAACTGTGTAACTTTGGAATGTTTTACTTACTCTCATTGTAATTTATTTTCCTTTTTAAAATGGGGCTCGTGATGAGTGTTTTCCTGAAGTAGGTTGATGTGATGGACAGTTGAGTTAATTCAAGTTAGTTATTCTGAACATTTACTGGCACATAGTAAGTACTCAATAAAATGTTAGTTGATGCTATATTTAAATGTACTCTAGGGAATTTTTCATTAATGTTAAGCTGATATAAAAGCACTACCAGGCTGTTGTGGTACAAACTATCTAAAAACCACTGGTGTTTTTAAAGATTAATTTTATTTTAATTACACGTATGCGTGTTTCTGTGTGGGTGTGCATATAAGTGCTTGTTGAGGCCAGAAGATGATGTCAGATTCCCTGGAGCTGGAATTAACAGGAGATGGTTTACTGCCCCATGCAGGTGCTGGGAATGAAGTTTGGGTACTCTGCAACAGCATTCTACATCCCTAAGTACTGAGCCATCTCTCCATGCTCCAAGCTACTGAGATTTTAAAAGATAGATTTCTTCCATCATTTTTAGCACGTCAGCAAATTCACCTCGAAACCTTTCCATGGTTAGACTTATGAAGGTATTGAGTGGGCTAAAATTATGAGCCAGAAGAAGATTCTGGCATTCTCTAGCTCAGAAAAATCCTGAGTTATTGCGTGGGTGACATGTGTGAGCAGTACCGTATGTAATAACAGAATCTTTGCTATCAAACTTGTGTTTGAATCCCTGCTACAATGGGCAAGTCACTTAGCTTTACCCTTCATTTTTCATATTTGTATATTGAAGGTAATATTATCTATCTTGGGTTAATGTGAAGATTAGACACTGCACGACAGGATACACTTAATAAATGGTGCTTGTTAGTGAATGCTTATGATTTACTGTTGAGATGGTTTGTACTTTTTATCCTAACATCAAGATTCAGACATACTTTTCACAACGAGACTTCCTTATTTTTTTTCAGTCGAAATCTTTTATCAACATTGCCAAAATACCTATTTGACCTTCCCCTTAAAGTTTTGGTTGTGAGCAACAATAAACTGGTATCCATTCCAGAAGAAATTGGAAAATTAAAAGATTTGATGGAGCTGGTGAGTAAAATATTGTATAAAATTATATATGCTGCATATAATATGTACCTTTTCATTTTGGAATTGCACTCATTACTTTGTGGAATTTCACTGTAATTAAGAAAAAGAGATAACTTGATATATGTGTAAATTCTGTTGGGTATCAATTTCAGGTGCATTTATTTATGTCTGATTTTAGCTCCCAGCCAAGAACAACAGAAGTTTGAGGAATCTCAGTTGTAGACACTTTAGGATGCTCGGTTACGAGCTTTCAGTAACATGTTTCAAGTGAATTAATATTTATTTACTTATATTGTGGACGGAGTTCCTAAGGAAATGAGTTTTTTTCTAATGTTTTATGGAGCTGATGAGGAGAGTTAGAACGTAGTGGTAAAAGTAGACAATGCAGCTGTGTGTGCTGGTGGTGCATGCCATTATCTTCAGCTACTCAAGGGGAGGGAGGATAATCATTTGAGCTTAGGAGTTTTTACATCAAGCCAGGTAGCATATTGAGACCCCATTTCACCAAAACAAACAAATGAGCAAATGATCAGTTTCTAAAAGATAAAGCATAGGGTGCTCACAAACAGAAGTAGAATTAACAAAACAACTTTCTTCAATTAATATGCGCACATGAATTTATAACACTTTTAGGACCAAAGTAAATGTAAAGAGGCAATTATATGCAATTGATTGTGGAAATTAATATAACACCTCTGAATATTAACGTTTTAGATTTTTAAAGGACATTGAACTTCCAGAGCAAAACAGAGAGTGCTCAGGCATTGAACTCTTTTCATGTATTTGTATTACTTCAATTTTACCCTGTGCCATGCTGTTTATTTTTATTTTCTGTTTTGTATTAAGGTGAAGCTTTCCCAATAAATAGGTACTTTAGGATTTTTCTTAAGTAGGACTTTATTATTTCTCAAGGACCAGAAATTTTCTTTTAAAACTTATTTACAATTTTATAATGTAAACATATTGTTATAAGAATGTATATTAATCAGAAATGTCAGGATTGTGTTCTAAGGAATCACTTCATGTCCAGTTTCTCTTTACTTTTTAGAGACATAGAGGTTAGCGGTTAGAAAAGATCTTAGAAATGACCAAATACAGTCACTTCCTAATGCTACCTGTGTATTTCCAAGAAGGACAGTTCTCTGGGTATATTTGAACCTCCCCTAATTCTCTTTTTTAGAATTCTATTTGTTAGTAATTTTTATTGTTTTGAACCAAAATAATGCTCCTGTTAGCTTTTTCTATTGACCTTGGCCACTGTGTGAAGAAATGTAAAACTTCTCTTCCCTCAAATATTTGTATTCTACTGAAATTTTAGGCCTGTTTTTTTAAAGATAAAACATCCTTATTAACTTTATTTGTTTCAATGAATCTCTTTTTTGTGTGTTCCATTTATTTAATTTGAATTACATTGATTTACTAATGCAATTAAATATTAGATTTTGAGAACCAAATTTTAGCAGGTGCTCCATTCCACAGTTTGCATAACTTTCTTTTAAAATCATATTTATCAGTACTTTGAAAATATAATATAATATATTTTGATAATATTCACAGCTTTTCCCAACTCCCCCCTGGCCCCCCAAATCTACCCAGCTTCCCTACCCACTGAACATTGTATATGCTTTAAAAAAATGTAAAAACCCATCCAGGTCAGTTTATGCTGCATATATATTCTTGAGTGAGTGGCCTTCCGCTGGCGTACAGTCGACCACAGTCTTTAAAACAAACAAACAAACAAACTGTAGCTTGAGTTTTCTAGACAGCCCGGCTAGCTCAGTCGGTAGAGCATGAGACTCTTAATCTCAGGGTCGTGGGTTCGTGCCCCACGTTGGGCGCCAGATATTGGTGAAATTATTAAGGCCACTCCACGTAGTTAAAAGGAGATTTATTTAATGGCGTAACTTACAAATTAAGGAATAGGTAGGTCGCGGAGTCTGGGGAAGGTGTATCACAGTCCAGCGGTGTTCTCTGGAGCTCTGCTCAGTCCACCTCTCCAGTCCAGGGTCCCGCAACAGAGAGAGCGCCCGCCGATCCAGATCTCGGGTCCCCCGGCGCCTCCCTTGGCCCCGCCTTGTTGGCGTGACAGTTGCCGAAGTCTCAATGGGGGTTGGAACTTCCAGATCAAAGCTGGAATGGCTACCCACTACAACAAACAAACAAACAACACAAAAACTTTTAGTAAATATACTCAAACAAGGAAGTTCCCGTGTAATAGAAATGAAAAAACATCAGGAGTCCATATTCAATAGAAAGTGACTATAATTAGCTAACCCTATGGAAATTTTCAATTAAACCTTAATACAAATACATTCATCTTTTTTTCTTTATGTAAGAATAACTCATAGGTACATAACATGAGGAATTTAGGAAAATTACAGGATACTAAAAAGTTCTCAACTTTAATAAATGGTGCAGAATAGATTTCAAAAACAGCATTCTGCATGAATGTATACCCCTGGTTTAATTCCATGATTTTTATCATGCCAGAAGTTTGGTTTCTTTTAATTTTTTTTTTTTTTTTCGTTTTTTGAGTCAGGGTTTCTCTGTGTAGCTTTGCGCCTTTCCTGGATCTCGCGCTGTAGACCAGGCTGGCCTCGAACTCACAGAGATCCGCCTGCCTCTGCCTCCCGAGTGCTGGGATTAAAGGCGTGCGCCACCACTGCCCGGCGTTTCTTTTAATTTTTTACATTGACTTATCAATAGTTAAGCTATTTTATATACAGTATCAGTGTGGAAAAAATTAAATATTGGTCATATACTATGATACTTTAAACTTTCAGTCTTTCTAATATAAGAAAATAACTGTATAGTAATAACTTTCTCTTTATAAATAAAATAAAAATTAATGATAACTGGATTTGTAGTTTCTACTAATAAGTTTTGTCTCATTTGTTGCATACTATAAATCATGTAATTATGCAGGATTTCGTTAATACTTGGTAGTTCATAAACAATGTTACAAAACAGCCATATGAATTCTTCATGCCACAAGGTAAACAGTGTTCATAGTGCACTTTCATCTCATTTAAGTTGAAGCTGTTCTTTTGGATATTTTCCTACTTTGATGTGAGGAGATTGTTAGGATTTCTTTAAGTGGTTTTATTATGTGGCTTTTAAAAAATTGTCTACAATGGCTTAATTTCTTCCACAGTTCATAGTTCTCAGGAGATAGCTACTTTTGGACATCATATAATCTAGGGATGTTTTGTATAGCTCAAAACTCTTAGTGCAATTATGATAAATAAGCATCCACATCCATATATTCTGGATGATACGCTCAAAGTAAACTAACATGGTTTCCAAGAACTCCTCAGCTAAGGGTGGGACTTCCTGCTCATTTCTCCTCTCCATTCTGGCATCTGTCTTGCTTGAGCTTGCACAGGTCTTGTGGACACTGTCACAATTGTTGTGGGGTCACATGTGCAACTTTTCTTCCGTATAGGAAGACACTGTTTTCTTATGCTCATCCTTAATCATTCCACACCATCTTCCACAATGATCTCCGAGCCTTGGAAGGAGAGGGTGTGGTATAGATGTCCACTTTAGGGCTGATCATTCCACTGCTTCTTATTCTCTGTACCCTTAGTAGTTATAGGACTCTGTGTTAATAGTCTATCTTTAACAGAAGCTTTTCTGAGGGTTGAAAAATGTACTAATCTATGTGTATAATAATAAATCTTAAGGAGTCAGTGTGGTGAATAGTGTGTTCCCCCAAATATTGTGCACCCTAATAAATTTATTGGGGGTCAGAGAACAGAATAGCCGCTAGATAGACATAGAAGCCAGAAAATGGTGGCACACATGCCTTTAATCCTATCACTTGGGATGCAGAGATCCATTTGGATCTCTGTGAGTTTAAAGCCACATTGGAAACAGCCAGGCATGGTGACTCACACCTTTAATCCCAGGAAGTGATGGCAGAAAGCAGAAAGGTATATAAGGCGTGAAAACCAGGAACTAGAACTGGTTAAGCTTTTAGGCTTTTAGCAGCAGTTCAGCTGAGATTCATTCTGGATGAGGACTCAGAGACTTCCAGTTTGAGGAAACAGGATCAGCTGAGGAAGTGGCAAGGTGAGGTGGCTGTGGCTTGTTCTTTCTCTCTGATCTTCCAGCATTCACCCCAATACCTGGCTCTGGGTCTGATTTTATTAATAAGACCTTTTAAGATTCATGCTACAAGTCAGTTTAATGCTGTGTTCACCTAGCAGAATAGTCGTAGGTTGTCTCCTAGGAGCTATGACCTGCCTAGCCACAAGTTATTGGTCTGATAGTGGTGCCAGGTATGGGTTTCATCTTGTGGAGCAGGCATTAAAGTCTACCAAGAAGTTGTTGTTTTAGCCCCATGTTGTTCATGCCACGATTGCACCAATGGCAGGCCAGTCATTATGGTAGTTCACAGGGTTTATAGCTGGGTAATACTGATGCTTACTTTTCTCTTCTGGTAACATGCATAGAACCTTTTAGAACTATGAAAGCTAGCTAGTAGTGATGAAGCTTCCAGGTGAGTACCAGCTTGATTTCTCCATGTCCTGGTGTCTCAAGTAGTTGGTATCTTCAGCAAAAGGTCTTTCTGTCGGTGTTTGAGGGTAGCCAATGGCAACAGCAAGAGCCTGTAATATTTGTGGGTCTTTAGGCCCTCGTTGGCCAAAAATTCTCAAAGAAGTAGCCCATTCCTGGCACTGGCCTTTTTATTTGATAATGAATGGAGTCTAAAAGGAGCATTGTTGACCTATTATTGGGTGACTCCATTTTAACTCTTTATGTATACATGTGAATTTATCTGTATCTATCTGTATTTAAAGAAGCTTCTACAGTAATAGATTTCCATATGATCTTTTTTCCAAAAGTTCTTTAAATGAGTGAGCATTAAATCAGGGTTATATTTTTATAACCTTGAAAGACTTCAGATTCTAATTCCTTTGGATACCTTTGAGTGGGATTTGACTACAAAATAAATGCTTGTAACTGTTTCATATTCTTCTCTCTTTTGTAGAGAGTAATTTAGTTAAACTTATTATGACTATGGTGTCTGGTTCTCTAATTCACATCTCTAAATCCTTGACTTTCTTGAGGCATTTATCCTCCTAAATAATCTGAAATAAACTATAATAATTGGCAGATTATTTAAGTTGTTTGATAGTTATCCATAGTGTTTTATCTCTGCTTGAACATTTGACTCGTTATTCTAATTTCAATGGACAAAGAAAGTTGTTCTTTAGTTCAGAGTTTTGCTTATGTACTTATTAAAACTAATTTCAAATTTTTGTGTAGAATTTTTTATTGACTGTGGTGTATTGGCTTATGATCTAATACAAATAAAGCTCTGCCAGAAAAGGACATTAGAAGTAACTTTGCTACTTTAAAATTTTAAATTTTAAAATTGAAAGTATATTTGTATTTTTAAATTTGATATCACTTTACTTTCTTGTTTTCCTTAGGACATTAGCTGCAATGAAATTCAGGTTCTTCCCCAACAAATGGGAAAATTACATTCCCTTAAAGAGTTAAACATAAGAAGAAATAATCTTCATGTTTTGCCAGATGGTAAGATATTCACTATTTTCACTTACTAGAGTAAGAGAGTGACCATACAACATTTAACTTTTTTTTTTCATTTCTGAACAGAATTAGGAGATCTCCCCTTAGTCAAGTTGGATTTCTCCTGTAATAAAGTGACTGAAATTCCTATTTGCTATAGGAAGCTGCATCATTTGCAAGTAATAATTTTGGATAACAATCCATTGCAAGTACCGCCAGCACAGGTTTGTAATAAGCATATGATACTTCTTTCTTTTCAATTTTATCATGATTTCATGTTTATGAAATTTAAAAACAGTATCATATGAGTCAGTGTTGTCTTTTACATGGCATTATGTAGAGTTTTTCTACGAACTGACATTTGGTATTTTTTTGTTTGGTTTGGTTTTAAGATAATCTCATGTATCTTTATGCTGGTGTCAATCTTTCTGTGTGGTGTATGGCTATGATTTTTTTTGTTTTTTTGAGACAGGGTTTCTTTGTGTAGCCCTGGCTGTCCTGGAACTCACTCTGTAGTCCAGGCTGGCCTCAAAATCATGGATATTCAACTGACTCTGCCTCTCAAGTGGTGGGATTAAAGCTGTGCACGATCATTGCCTGGCAAGATGGCTATGCATTTTGATCCTCCTCCTGCCTCTACCTATCAAATGATGGAATGCCACCATGCCATGTTAGAGATTTTTTTTTACTTTGATAATAGTTTTAGTGTAGGTTATAGAAAATCATTTAGAAAACCTAGAATCACCCTTTATCTGTGTGAATTTGTAGTTCTGATTGTAAATGTTATTTTAAAAAGAAAGTTTCTGAACTCTCTCAGATATACATTTTATAGGTATTTGTTGTTGGACTATTGGTATAATGGGTATTGATATGTGGGTTGGAATTAGAGTTCTTCTAGGAAAATTCCATGCTGGGCGTTAAGATAGGCAGTCTGCAGGACCAAGAGTGCTTTGCCTGAGGAAACATATCTCACATAAGGAAGACTAGCTACGTATCCCTTCCAGGATATTTTTATCACTGAGATAGAATTATGACATAAAAAGATACAAATGGGAAACATTAATTTTAGCTTTTAATATAATGAGTATTAAAGCCACAAGTAATCCACTAAAACAATAAAGAATAACCTAAGATATAAACTCAGGAGAACAAAGAGAATCATGAGAAGCAGACAGCAGGATTTTGAAAATGGTAAAATAGGTGGAATAGTGGTAACGAGTGCCTCCACATATGAGGCACAGATTTGCCTGAGGAGCACAACAGTTCCTACTACCTCCAAGCTTTGGTCATTGGCATGTGAAGAAGTGCCTTTTTTCTTTTAACAATGATACATTGCATTCATTACAAAGAGAATAAATATTTTTCTTTTTATACATTTATTAATTTTTAAAAAATTTCATATGATGTGTCTTGATCATATTCACTTTCACCCCCACTCCTCCCTCTCCTTCCTCCAAGATCCACTTATTCCCCATCATGTCTTCTTTTTTTTTTTTTGCTTGCTTTTTTATCAGAAGAGACTATCGCCCAGCAGCTGTCTGGGTCCTCTGCCTCTTACAACCTTTGATTCTCCTGTTCTGTGATGTTTTTGAGCCTTAAGTGTAGGAGCTATGTTGCATATGTGTCTGTAGGGGCTGGGCATCCAGATGATATCTGCATTTTGACCAATTGTGGCTTTCTTTTTTCCTTCCTTTTTATTGCGAATAGACTTTTTTCATACAATATATTCTGGTGGTTCTCCCTCCCCCAACTCCCAGGTCCTCCTCACCTTTCCACACATTCAAATCCACATCCTTTCTTGCTGTCTCTCACTAGAAAACAAACAGGCATCTAAAAATAATAAAATAAGTTAAAATAAAAATAAACAAGCCTGAATAGGACCAAACAAGCAAGCAAATAAACAGAAAAGTAGAGTCAAAAAAAGCACAAGAAACACATATTTATGTAGAGACATGCATGCACACACACACACACACACACACACACACACACACACACCCATACACACTGAAATTTCCTAGAAACACAAAATCAGAAACCATAATAAACAAACAAACAAACAAATAAATAAATAAATAAAGGACCTGTATGGTAAGAAAAGAAAAAAAAAAGGAAAGAAAAAAGAAAATGCCCAGATAAAGCATTATGAGAAAAAAGAAAAGAAAAAAAAATCTTCCAAAAAATTTCATTGAGTTTATTTTGAGTTGGTGTCTACTTCTGGGCCTGGGGCCTGGCCTTCAAAGTGATTTATATATCCAGTGAGTTGCCAATTAGAGAAACTAATTTTTCCAAGTAGTTATCAATTGGAGACAGCTTCTGGGTTAGGGATTGGGGTTTGTGTCTACTTCCCTTCTCAGCACTGGACTCTGTCTGGCTTAGACCTGTGCAGGCCCTGCGCATGCTGCCACAGTCTCTGTGAATTCATATGTGCACCGGTCCTGCTGTGTTTAGAGGGCCTTGTTTCCTTGGTCTCCCATCCCTTCTGGCTCTTACAATCTTCCTACCTCCTCTTCCACAGGGTTCCCTCTAGTTGTGGCTTTCTGTAATGATCTCTATCAACTGCAAAAAGAAGGCCTTTAATGAGGGATGGGAGCTACACTTATTTGTGGTTGTAAGGATGAATATTTGTAATTCAGTAGAGATTATACTGGTTTAGGTAACTTGCAGTAGTTGGTTCTCTTCTACTTTCCATGGGCTCCTCAGTCATGGATAATTGGTTAAATTTACACTGGCAAGCAAGAATTCCCCTCTATTGAGTGAGTCTTTTTTTCTTTTTTTTAATTAAGAAATTTTGTATTCATTTTACATACCAACCACAGATCTCCCTCTCATCCCTCCTTCCACTCCATCCCCTAGCCTTCCCCCAGCCCATCCCACATCCCCTCCCCTGAAAAGGAAAGGCCTCCTATGGGGAATTAGCAAAGCCTAGTACAGTACATTCAGCTGAGACAGTTCCAAGACCCTCCCCCCTGCATGAAGGCTGAGCAAGGTATCCCACCATAGGTAATGGGCTCCAAAAAGATAGTTCATTCACTAGGGATAGATACTATTCCCAGTGAGTCTTAAGTCGTTTGAAGTGACTTGGTTACCCCCAAGATATTAGTGCCATTATTGCATCTTTAAGAATATCTTGCTATACTGGTCAATATTATAGTTCATTGATATTACAGTTGTGTAGGACTATTGTTTGTTTTGATCTGTTGGCAGATTGCATTTGTGGTTCCTTCTGAAACTACAATTGCTAGTTTTCATTGAGGAGGCTTCCAGTTCAGTTCAAGAAGGGTTCCTTATAAAAAGCCGGTTGTGGTGGCGCAAGCTGGTAGGATTTGCTGAAGGAGGCAGAGGCAGGAGGATCACAAGTTTGAGGCCAGCCTGGGCTATATATTTAAAAAACCCAGCTAGCTCAGTCGGTAGAGTATGGGACTCTTAATCCCAGGGTCATGGTTTTGTGTCCCATGTTGGGTGCCAGATATTATGGGATTTATTAAGGCAACTCCACATAGTTAAAAAGGAGTTTTATTTTGGGGGGTAACTTACAGCTAGTAAAGGTGTTGGTTACAGTTCCTCCAAGTAAACTGTGTTATGTCTTCAGCAATTGAATCTTACCTTCTTTTTCTAGAAGGCACTAAGGGTATTGATATAGCATATATTGTTTTTGGGGGGTCCCTTTGATGCCCTTAATCAGAAACTTGTAAGGAAGTTTCCCATGCCTGGCACTGGGTTTTTGTTAGATAGTAGAGGCTTCATAAGAATGTGAGGAACTTGTTAAAATCTTATGTTGGAGCCTGCTGACAGTCAGCTAGGTAACTGGGTAGAGGTGTGTGGATTTGTAGAGACAATAAAGAAGACAGAAAAGAGTTGAGAGGACTGCTAGTCTATGCCAGACAGTCCCGAGTTTATTTCACAGCCAGCTTATATACAGTCTTGAAGGACAGAGGTAGAGCAATGCACAGCACAGGCATTCAACCACTATCTATCCTGTCTGCATCAAGGAGCAGGCAGTTTCTTTTTCTTTTTTTTCCAGAGCTGTGGACCTAACCCAGGGCCTTACGCTTGCTAGGCAAGTGCTCTACCACTGAGCTAACTCCCCAATCTGGTGTCAGCAGCCTGCATCTAGCTAGATAGTATGTTTCTTCTTTGGCTAATCAGGACATTCTCAAGCCCTTTAATGAGACTCTGCAGGCTAATCAGGACTTCCTCATAGCCCTGGAGCAAGCAAGCTTGAACTCTGTTGACTCAGAATAGACTTCAGATTCAAACTGGGAAACTGAGTCAGTTGTGGGCTCCCACAATCTTACATTCTCTTCTAATAATGTGTTTGTGTGAAACCAGATTTTATATGTATATCAGAAAAATATAGTGACAGCTTTAAAAAAGAATACTGAGTGTGGTTGTCATCCCAGCATCTGACAGGGTGAGGCAAGAGGATCAGCAGTTGAAACAGAGAGTTTGAGGCCAGCCTCAGTTATATGGAACTGTCTCAAGACATGTGATCTTGGTGATCTTGAACAATCATTTAATTCTGTGACTTTGTTTTTGTGTGTGGGGGTGGGGGGGGTAAGGGCTACTATGCATGGTTCCAGAATCTATGCTTTTTAATTGCTCTACTGTACTGAATTTTGAAAAGGCAAGGAAGTAAGGTTAACTGAATAAGATAGGGAATTCAACAAATGGTGTTGGTCAAACTAGATATCAACATGTAGAAGAATTAAACTAGATCCTCATCTCTCATTCTGCACAAAACTTAACTCCAAAAGGACCAAAGATTTCAATATAGGACCTCATATCCTGAAGTGCATGGAGGAAAAAGTAGAGAATATGCTTGGACTCATTTGTCACAAGAAAGGTCTTTATGAACAGGACTCCAGTAAGGAAAAACACTGAACTAACAATATATGGAACCTCATGAAATGAAAAATTTTCTGTGCAGCAAAGGGGCCACTATTACTTGAGTAAAGAGCCAACATACAGAATGGGAAGAAAATCTTTACAAGCCTTACTTCTGTGAGAAGATTAGCCTCTAGAATATTAAAAATCAAGTTTTGAAAGAATCTGAACATCATGAAAACAGCCAATTTAAAATTGGGGTATGAAAGTAAACACAATTTTCACAAGAAGAAATACAAATAGCTGACAAATACTTTCAGAAAGTTCAACATCCTCAGCTATCAGGGAAATGGAAAATTAAAACTACTTTGATATTTTATCTTATTCAAGTGAGAATGGCCATTAAAAAACAAAAAAAAAAAAAAAACAAAATCTCAACAACAAATGACCACAAATGCTGGCAAGGATATTGACAAAGGAAAATACACTTACACTGTAGTGCAAGTACACAGTGATGCAGCCACTATGGAAATTGATGTGGCAGTTCCTCAAAAAAGCTAGAATTAGATATGCTATATGACTCAGTTATAGCACTCCTGGGCATATTCCCAAAGGACTCTGTATCCTACTACATGGATACTTGGTCACCCATGTTCACAGTTGCTATAGTTGAGATGCCCATTAATTGATGAATGGATAATTCAAGTGTGGTACATATCCATGACGAAAATTCACCTATGTTCTTATAAAAATGGTTGGAGCTGGAAATAATTATCCTTGCTGAGGTAGTCCAGACTCAGAAAAGGAAAAGCCACGTGTTTTCTCTCACATCTGAATGTTAGCATTGCATTTTTAATGTGTGTGTTCTAATTGTAGTACCCAGAGAAGTCAGGAAACTAGTAAGGGACCATAGGAAGATATTTCAAAGGAGTAGGGATAGAAGACAGGTGGGATGAAAAAGGGAAGAAGAGTCATGGAATAAAGGTTAAATGGGGTGAGGAATGGAAGGGTATGATGCTATCTTTTCTCTAGTGTGTTTTGTTACCTTCTTTGTAAAAAGTCTGGTAGTTATATGTGCGTCTTCTAGTCTATTGATCAACATGTCTGTTTCTATGCAAGTATGATGGTGTTTTATTACTATAATTCTGTAATATAATTTGATACCAGAGATGGTGTTTTCTAGCACTGTTTTCATTGTTAAGGATTGTTTTGGCTGTCCTGGCTCTTTTGTTTTGCCATTATTACTTTATAATAGTACTTCATCTCTTTTTAAAAAATCTGTGTGTGTATGAGTGTGGTGGTATTGTGTTCCCCAAAATATTGTGCACTCTAATAAACTTATCTGGGGGTCAGAGAACAGAACAGCCACAATATTAAACATAGAGGTTAGGCAGTGGTAGCACACGCCTTTAATCCTAGCATTCCAGAGGCAGAGATCCACCTGGCTCTCTGTGAGCTCATGGCCAAGCATGGTGACTCACGCCTTTAATCCCTGGAAGTAATGGCAGGAGGCAAAAAGGTATTTAAGGCATGAAGACGAGGAACTATAGCCTGGTTAAGCTTTTAGGCTTTTGAGCATCACAGTTCAGCTGAGAGGCATCTAGTCTGAGGAAACAGGATCAGTTGAGGAATTGGCAAGGTGAGGTGACTGTGGCTTGTTCTATTTCTCTGATCATTCAGCGTTAACCCAATACCTGGCTCTGAGTTTGTTCTTATTAATAAGACCATTTAAGATTCGTGATACATATGAGTGTGTGTTGTGTATGCATGTGCTCATGTGTGTGTGTGTGTGTGTGTGTGTGTGTGTGTGTGTGTGTGTGTGTGTATGTATGTGTGTGTAAGTGTGGGCATGCACATACCACAGTACATATGTGGAGGTCAGAGGACAATCTCATGTGTTAGTACTTCCACCTTGTTTAAAAAATGATCATTTGTTTTGTCTCTGCATATGCTGGGCTAGCTCATTGCCAGTTTTAAGGGATTTTCTTGTCTCCATATTCTATCGTGCTGTAAGAGCATTGGGATTAGAGACTTGTGCTACTATATTCGTTTTTGTTTTTTTAATGTGGATTTTAGGGATTCACACTTAGGTCCTCCTGATGTTGTGGCAAGTGTTTTACCCCATGAGTCATCTCTTCAGCCACCATCCCTTTTTCTGTCTGGTGGTTACCTCTTACCATTGCTTTTCTGTATGACCAGGGGAAATATTTTCTCAGGGTGTTTTCCTGGTTGAACTCCATTTCAACTGCCTTGCGATTATTATGCTTCTTAACCGATCTATTCTCTATATGCTTATGTTATTTTTATTAGTCTTTCTTCACATTTTATATCAATATTTTCTGGGCTTGGTGAGATTACATATTATATTGTTCGAGTATTAGATGGTCTTTCAATAAAAAACCCAAAGCCAGATATTGGACTAAAAGCTGAAAGATCAGAGAAGCAGAACAAGCCACAGCCAACCTCACCTCACCAACTCCTCAGTTGATCCTGTTTCCTCAGACTGAAAGCCCCTGAGTCTTCACCCAGAAGGGTCTCAGCTGAATTGCCTTAGTTCTGTTTCCTCAGGCCTTATATACTTTTCTCCGCTCTGCTGCCACTTCCTGGGATTAAAGGCGTGTGTGCTTCCCAGTACTGCGATTAAAGGTGTATGCCACCACTGCCTGGCTCTGTTTCCAGTATGGCCTTGAAATTAGAGATCTAGACGGATCTCTCTGCCTGCTGAATGCTAGGATTAAGGATATATTCCACCACTGCCTAACCTCTATGTCTAATCTAGTGGCTGGCTCTGGCCTCTGATCTTCATGCAAGCTTTATTAGGGTACACAATATATCACCACAACATATATTGTTTTCACTAATACAGTGAATGGTATATTTCTTATTTTTTTAATAGAAGTATCATTCATGACATAGATTTTATAGTTTTCAGTAGTTTGTACATTTGCTTTTATCAAGAAAATGTGAGTGAAATATACAAAAAAAAAAAAAAGGGCCAGAGATATGATGGCTCAACAGTTAAGAGCAATTTCAGAGGACTCAGGTTCAGTTTCCAGTATGTGAATGATGACTCCAGTTGCAGCATCTCCCAAGCCCTCTTCTGCCTTCCTTGATCACTAGGCACACATGTGGTACTTTTACATACACACAGGCAAATGCACATATACATAAAGTAAAAATGAACCTTTTAAAAAATAAGTGATTTATTTTAAAAAGAAATATACACAGGGATTGCACAGGTCTAAGCCGGATAGGGTCCCTGCACTGAGAGGGGAAGTAAATATAAGCCCTCATCCCTAACCCAAAAGCTATCTTCAATTCACAACTGCTTGCAAAGGACAAATTAGTTTTCTCCTTTGGTATACCAACCACACTTAAGGACAGTCCTCATGCACAGCGGTGGATGGCCAAAACAAAATGAAATCAATGGTAATTTTGAAGGTTTTTTTTTGTGTGTGTGTGTGTATGGGGGAGGGTTGTTTCACAATGCTTTGTCTGCCCCCCCTTTTTTTTAATCTTACAGATCTTTTGTAAATATATAATGGTTTCCAATTTTGTTTTTATGGCTTTTCTCTGTGTGTGAATGAATGTGTGTATCTCAGTGTCTGTATGTGTTTTTGTGTATTTTCTTTGTTTTGTTCTATTTAGGTTTGTTATTTTATTTTGTCTTTTAATAATTAATAATACAATAATGATAGAGAGATAGACAGATTGATTTTTGGATGCGTGTTGAAGTGTAGAGGATCTGGGATGTGTTAGGGGAAGGGAAACCATAATCAGAAGGTACTGTATGAAAAAATCCATTTTCAGTTAAAGAAAGAAAAGAACAAAAACTTCATTCTTAACATAGAAAAAAGTAAAAAGAAATATAAAAAACCTTTCTGATGAAAAGGTGATAGAATATTTTTATTTGTTATCAGTATTGTCACATTTTTCTTCCTTGCACCACACATATAATTCATTAAAATATACAAATATACAAACTACCAAGATTGTGATATCTCAGCCTAATTTGAGTTCATATATATACATATATATATATATACATATATATACATATATATATATATATAAACTTGATAGTGTTCCTTTCTATTTGCAATTAGATGGCAGAGAGATGGCTCAGCAGTTAAGTGCACTCTCTGTTCTTGAAGAGGATCTGAGTTTGTTTCCCAGCACCCACATGGTGGCTCATAATCATCTATAACTATGTTACCAGGGATTCCCATATCTTCTTCTGGCCTCTGCTTTATGGCACGCACAAGGTGCACATACATACAAGCAAAACACTCATACAGGTAAAAAATTATATTTGGAGTTATTACTAAATCTACTTCATTTTTTGTTTACAGATATGCTTAAAGGGTAAAGTACACATATTTAAGTACTTAAATATACAAGCATGTTGTAGAATGGATAAGAAACCAGATTCCCTGGATCTTCCATCGCTGAGTAAAAGAATGCCTTCTCAGCCTCTCACAGACAGGTAATGTGAATAGTATTAGTAGTCTTATAGTTTCAATTGATGATTGTCCTCAGTTATTAGAAAAGAAATTTATCACTCGGGTATACTGAATGTATTTAGCCTGATAAAACCAGTTTTTACAAAATGTATTTGGCTGCCCATCATTGGTCAGTGAATAACTTCGGGGATACTGAACTGAATATGAGAATTTATTTTCAGATAGCATTATTTTAGCACAGAAAATGTATAAGTTTGACAGTATAAGTAGAAGCATTGATTTCCTGACTGTTATATCTGGTAGCCTACTTTTTTATTAAGTAATTTTTTATTCATTTTACATACCAATCACAGAGCCCCCTCTCCACCCTCCTCCCACCCCTCCCGCCTTCACCCACAACCCACCCCTTATTCCCTCCTCCCAGAAGGCAAGGTCTTTTTGATCACTGCTTTAATCCTTGTAATAGCAAGTAGAATTTGACTTTGAACTGAAGTTGATGGAAGATGAAGATATTTTAGGGGTGCCTTTTTTCCTTTTCTTAATGTTCTTTTCTTTTTCCTATGTTGAGTATTCAGTCTAAGCAAGTGCCCTATCACTAAACTATAACCCCAGCCCTTTGTGTATGTGTATGATCTTTTTTTTTTTGCAGTGCTGGGAGTTGAATGCAGGGCCTGTTGTACACTATACAGGTGCTCTAACATTCAGCTATAACTCTTTATCTCCTGGTCAAAAATGGTATATCATTGATATTCTTTGATTGCACTATCCTCTTTATGACCTTTTGATATGGTGGATATGTTATTCTTTTAAATTCATACCTTCAAGATGTAGATTGCTCTGAAAGGCTTTTTGAAAATATAATTCCATGCAGAAATACGGAAAATAACTTGGAATGGGGTAAGACTACAGAAAGGGAGACTATGACCACCTAAAAGATTTAAAGGTTTGTCATTGATTTGTATGATATATTTAGATTGTTTTGAATGTGGTTGTAGTAAGTACTGTTGTTAACAGTGAAGTCTTGAGTTCCTAAATAGAACTTTCTTGTGAATATTTCTCTTGTTTTCATAAGATATTTAAGTATTATATTCAGATTCTAAAATGTATTTTGTTTAATATTAGTAGTAGAACAACATTAAATTTCTATTAAAGTTAGAATTAATATCTATGGTAATCTCTACTAATTTGCTTCCTACTTTTTGCAAGTGAGATTATTTTAGTAATGGTGTTCTTTCTTTCTCAGTAATTATTATACATAGCTGTTGAATACCTGCTGTTAGATTCAGGGCATATTTTGTTGAAAGCTGTACATGTTTGTTTTGGCAACTACTGGAATTCCCATTCTAGGTGGGACACAGAACCATATAAATAAGAGTTCAGTCCATTTTATACTGCTTTAAAAGAATGCCTGAAACCACATAATTTTAAACAATAGAAATTTTTTTGACTCATAGTTTTGGAAACTGATTATGTTCAAGATATGGGGGGCACACTCAGTGAGGGCCCTATTACTGCACCACAGCATGTCAAAAGGTAACCGATAAGAATAAGAAAGTGAGAGATGTGATCAGGGTGTCAAATTTACTCCTGTAACAAATCTATTTCCAGGACAAAACTAGTTCCTACAATAGAGGTTAATCTCTTCAAAGACTAAGCTCTTATGACCCAAACGCCTGCCAGACCTCACATGCCAATGTTTTTGCATTGGGAGTTAAATTTACAACACATTCAGACCATAGCATTCACACACACAGACACACACACATACACAGACACACACACACACACACACACACACACACACACACACACACACACACACACGCACAGAGTCACACATGATACCTGGCATGTGGTGGTTCGTGTTGCCATTTTTCAAGTTTTTCATGGTACTTACACTATATGCATTCAATGGAAACCATACTTCAGTTTTGAATTTTCATCTTTTCTGGGGATGCCAGTATATAGTATGAGCATATCCTTGTGCTGCTGGGCAGTGAGAACAAGCTGTTGCTGGACCACAAAGGTAGAAAAGCAGTACTCTACAGTGGACTGTGTGTTGCTAAAGTATGATGTTCAAGATGCATGGTAAATGCATTTTTATTTGAAATATCTTTCAACTTACAATGAGTTTATTAGACCCTTTTTAGATGTAATAAATTTGAAATTGTGACCCACATTTTGAAAGAAATATTTCTTGCTATATTTCAAGACTTTGGTTAAGGAATATATCTTTGGGAAGTTGAAGACTTTCAGCATTTTGTTTTGTTTTGTTTTGTTATTTATTTATTTGTTGTTTTTTTCAAGACAATGTTTCTCTGTATAGTTTTGGTGCCTTTCCTGGATCTCGTTCTGTAGACCAGATTGGCCTTGAACTCACAGAGATCTGCCTGGCTCTGCCTCCCAAGTGCTAGGATTAAAGGTGTACCCCACCACTGCCCAGCTTGTTTTGTTATTTTTGAGACAAGGTCTCACTGTGAAGTTCTGTCTGGCCTGGAATTCATTATGTAGACCAGTACTGGTACTTTTGAGGATCCCCCTGCCTATGTCTTCCAAGTTACAGGCTTGGGCCACCAGGTCTGCCACCATGTATTATAGGAAGGTGAAATTTTAATTCAAGAACCAAACTAAAAAAATACAGTTGTATGAACAGTGAGGGTGGGGTGGGGAGAATGTCAGGAAGAATCAAGTGCTAGTGGCACATGCCTGTAACTCCGGAACTAAGGAGGCTGAAGCAGGAGAGATGGAAAGTTTCAGGTAAGCTTGGGTACATCATAGTAAGTGCCAGGCAGCTAGGGCTAAGGTGACACCCTGTCTCATGAAAAAGAAATAAAGAGAAAAAAAGCGCCTCAGGTCAGGAAGCCCCTATGGAGTTATAGCATAGTGCTAAAATCAAGGACTGTCAGGATAGGTAAAATCCAAGGACCATATTTACAATAACATTTGCAAAGTAGATAGCTACATTGCCATATTTTGCCTGCCTGTAAAATAGGAAAACACCAACCATTTTGTTAGGGCGTTGAATGAGCTAGATACAGCATTGTCTTGAAAGCACTTAGCTCAGTACCTGCTACATACTAGATAGTTATTGCACAGTGTGCAATAACCACTTTGTTCTCTGGGTTGCGTAATATGCAAGTTACAAATTTGTAAGGACAGCTCTAGTCTCACACAAAAAACAGTTCCATATTCAGCACTTTGCTGACAGTGTGTATGTGTGTTCCCTTTTCTTAATTATTACATGAACTAGTGGTTTTAGTCTTCACTCTGGAAGTGATAATGGAAAGAAGCAATTGTCTACAACAGAAGTGAATCTTTTCATTTGCTGTGTGGTTTTACCATTTAATAGAGCTTTGAATGGAGGCCCTTGTACACATTTGACATTATACACATTATTTATACAACTAACACTTGTTTTAACAGCCAACAAGAGGGAAATTGTGTAAAGTTAAAAAATGCCAAAATCACTGAATAAATGTCTTTATCAAAATGATTTTCTGGCAGGGCAGTTATTTTTCTTTCTTTTTTTTGAATTTCTCAAGAGAATTACTCTTATCAACTACTACATTACAGAGAACATAAAAGAAAAATATTGCTTAAATGACATGAGTAAAATATGTTATAGGAAAATTTCTGGTATTTCCTGCTTCAAGAATGTTAGACATCAAAAGTATGCATTTTACATTGTCTAGGGTGTTTTAGCTCAAATGTACTTTGTGGATTTAAGAACAAAATTCTAACTGCTCTTAGGATTTCTCTTTCTGTAGTATGGAAGATTTTTATCCAAATAAAAATCATGGCCCTGACTCTGGAATTGGAAGTGATAATGGAGAGAAGCGATTGTCTACAACGGAAGTGAGTTTTTTTTTTTTTTCTGATCCATGCTGTTTTGCTATTTCTTAGAGCTTGGCAAAAAAGGCACTTGACCACATAGGTTTTTAATTTTACATGCAGCTATAATTTTTCTTATAATTCTTGACTTCAAAAGAAGGAGTGCCTAGAAGCAGAACTTTCATCATAACATGGATTTTTGGTTGGAAATATGGAGATGGAAATCAGATCTTTTGTAATTCTTGTTTGATCAAAGAGGTATATACTTTGTCATATGTTTCAAATGCCTCACTTATACTGTGTGCTTGTTCCTTTCAGCCGTCAGATGATGATACAATCAGCCTTCACTCTCAAATTTCAGAATCGAATAGAGAACAAGCATCCAGAAATGACAGTCATATAATAGGAAGCAAGCCTGATTCTCAGAAAGGTAATTCAGGTGATATCTGCTATTATTTCATGTACACAGCTCCTATTAAAACTGAGATTTTTCTTTAAAATAGACTTTGAAAATTTATAGTATTTAAAGATGTATCTTATATTGAGAAAAGTAAACTTTTATCTTAAGCACTAAAGTATTAGAACATTTATTATATTTTATAATATTAATCTGAACCTAGACCAGGAAGTGTATGATTTTATTGATCCCAACACAGAAGATGTAGCAGTTCCTGAACAAGGGGATACACATATTGGATCATTTGTCTCTTTCCTTAAGGTAAACAAAATTGAACAAACATTAATAATATTCACTTCTTCCTGATCATACAAAAGATACCATGCAATTTAAAATGATAATTTTCCTTTTTATAAGGGGAAAGAAAAGTGCTCCGAAAAGTCTCAGAAAAATGAAGAACTGGGAAATGAGAAAAAGTAAGTATATACTAATTCTCAAAACGTTACTTATGAATTCTTGGACTATTCATTGTGTATTGCTACTTGAGAGCACTTGAAAGAATTTGTTTCATATGTCATATTCCCACCCCCCCAACCCCCGTGCCATGTTTAGATAACTTTCATGTACTTTGAATTCCTTAATTAAATTCATAATTATAATAGACATTTACTTTCCTCTCTGAGTAGATAATAATCATGTGCATTATCTTGTTACCAAAGAGGACTGTGTCTTCACAAATATTGCCTCATTTGAGTTCTTTAACAACCATGTCATAGAAATGCCATCAGCATCATTTTATCAATAAGGAAGCTGAGACCTAGAGTTCTGAATTTCCGCAACTTGGGCTTTGTGTCTTCTTGATTTAACATACTTTCCACTTTGTCGGCTGATTATGGAAATGTTAAGGTAGTTATTTCCATAGTTTATTACATTAATTGAAATTTGTATCTTTTCTTTATATTTCATCTCACAAAATAATGGAGTTATCCCTTTAGTTTGCTTGATAGCTGTACTAACCACATACTAGGAGCAGCACTGTGTGATTTTCCATGTTTCTCATTTAATCTTACTAAAGTCCTGCATTGGAGAAATTGACTCCATATCTATACAAATGGGAGCTGCAATTCAGAGATTTTTATATTACCTGCTAAAAGACTTTATATTATGTATTAACAGTGCTTAGCTAATGCCACTAGTGTCTGAACTGAGTTTTCTCCCAATTCCCCTAGTTTTCTCTGCACATCGTGCTTTCTCAAGTGAATTTATTGATAATTTTGTTTAGTGCTAGGGATTGAACTCAATGCCTCATGCCTGCTAAGCATACACATTCTCTAAACTGCATATCTAGAAATTTACTTGGTAATTTTCTAAGCAGTTGTTAGTTAATCATCTCTACTTCCCAATGAGGAAGTACATTGCTTTGTCTTGTAGTCTTTTTTTTTCTTTTAATGTGGAAGATTGACTGTAGGAGCTTTCAGCATGCTATACAAGTGCTCTACCACTGAGCTATAGCCTAGGTCCTACTTTGTAAATTAATGAGTTTTGAGACAATTTCACACATGTACATGACAGATGCTAGTCATTCTCATCCCCCTTCTCACTACTACCCCTGTTATCTCCACTTTCCATAGTTCTTTCTCTCATGTTGTTCATGTCTTTTCATTTTTTTTGGGGGGTCCCACTGATATTAACCAGGGCTGTCTGTGTCAACCATGGTTTACAAATAACTGTTGGAACCTCCTGGCTCAACAGTGGATACACAACTAAACACAGTGATTCAACCTCTCCCAGAGTCTATCAATAGCCAATAGTTCAGAAGTGATAGGTAGAGCTTCATGAGTTCCCCATTTCCTTGACTTATTGTTGATAGACCTTGTCTTGTGTGGGCCCAAATGAAGTTAACTATGTTTTTTTTTAAGTAACTATTGGGAGTTGTTACACAGTGTTTAGAGAAGGGGTTCTCAAATTGTGGGTCACGACCCCTTTAACCGACCTCTTTCTCCAAATATTTACATTACAATTTATAACAGTAGCAAAATTACAGTTATGAAGTAGCAACGAAATAATTTTATGGTTGGAGTTACCACAACTTGAGGAATTGTATTAAAGGATAACACCATTAGGAAGGTTGAAAATCTATGGTCTAGAGAATGACATTTCACAGCACTTTACCCAACCTTTTAGCACTTACTTTCCTATGTATCTTCTGTAATGTTCTCAGAGCCTTAGAAGGGGTGATAAAAATGCCTTGTTTATGGCTACAAACCTCTTTTTACTTCATATTTTGGACAGGGTTTTGCTCCATTGAAGAGGCTAGTCTTGGGCTCATTCTGTAGTGCTGAGGATCCTTGAACTTGTCATCCTCTAGCCTTAGGCTCCAATGTAGTTGAGATTACAGACTTGTGACACCATTTTGCTGTACTCTTTAGATTTAATTTTTCTATTAATTTCTTACCTCATCAAATGAGAAGTGTTGCATAAGTTTGAACATCACTAGTGTCTGTAAGATTTGATAACAATGCAATATTTTTATTGTCATTATTGTTATTTATGGTTCTTGTTATTAAATGGAGTGCTTTTGATATAGAATAGAGTTTGGAAAATAACTTACCTTTAATTTAGTTTTTAATGTTAAAATTATATATTTTAATAAGCTCTGGACATTTTGAAAATCTCATTTGAACCTATTTAACATTTCCTCATTTAAACTATTCTTTTTGTTTTACATAGAGATTTTAAAAACCAAACCAAGTAAACTTGTAGAAGCAGTGTGGCAAAATGAAAAATTTTGATATTAGTTTTTCTTTATTGCTAAAAACAGGCCATGAGGAGCTTTGCAGTCCTTTTTATACTCAAGGCTGAGCAGTGTGTATTGTTAACTTGTGAGCATTATCCATTTTTAAATTTTTAAAATGATCTATACTTCAGCATCACTTGCTAGCTATAGTTATATTACATAGGGAATGCAGATTTATTTTCCTAAACCTTCCTTATTTTCTACTTCAGTATTTTGCATATAAAGGCATAAGGATTTTAGCTTACATGGAATTAAAAATAACAACAGTTTCCATATCTAGATATTGACAAAGCACAGTTGGCTTTACTTTTTGAATAATTGTGTCTGTTTCAGACTTGACAAAGAACAGTTACATCCGGAAGAAGATGATGATGATTTGAAAGAAGTAACTGATTTGAGGAAGATAGCTGCTCAGTTATTGAAGCAAGAACAGAAGAACAGGTATTCTTTTCAGTAATGAGATTTGAACAGACGAATTTTATTATCAGTAAAAGATTATCAACTTAAGGAAATGAAGTTGCAAGTAAACATTAGGGATCTTTAAATATACATGTTCAAGAGGTTAACTGCTAAGAGACTGGAAATACTTAGAAGAGAAATAGGAAATCACATATATATCTAACAGAATGTACACAAATTGGCTCTATTTTTGTGGTGCTGGTGATCAAACTCTGGGCATCATCCATGCTAGGCAAGACCTCTGCCCTTGCGCTACACACCAGCCTTAGATAATGTACTGAACAATTTTATTTCTCTGCTAAATCATAGTAACTGATTTATTTGACCATATTCATTTTTAGCTCACAGTAGAATTATTTGCAGTGTAAGCACTTATTTCTAAGTATGTACTATACTGGTAAAATTTATTTATTTGATTTTTAGCAGATTCTCAATTATTTGGGATATACAGTTTCCCCAGAATTGAGTTGAATCATGTAATTATTTCTTAATTATTTCTTAAATCAGTGTGAAGATTTGAGTATCCCATGTTCACAGGTGTCTTGTTTCTTGGGTGAACCACTTTTTCCCCCTCTGGTTCAGCTTTCTCCAAATGCATGTCTTTGCCAACATGACATGAGCATGAGTATAGAATGAAGTTAAGTCCATTTCAACAGTTTTGTGTGTAGAGTGTAAAAATGTGTGTGTGCACAGCCATGTGTGCACCCACGGAGGTCACAGGTCTGCATGAGTTGTCTTCCTCATCTGCTTTTCACATTGTACTTTGAGACACAGTCTCCCACTAAACCTAGAACTCACTGATTGGCTCGAGTTGCTGACTGTTGAGTCTCCAGGAACCACTACCTTCCCGAGACCGGGCTTACAGATGGCATACAGCCATCTCCAGATTTTTATGTGGGTGCTTAAAATCTGCCCTTATGCTTGCATAGCAGCCACTTTGCCCATTGAGCCCAAAGCCCATTTTCACTTGAAAAATGGACCATGTGCTACTCTCCCTGCTATCTACATTTACTGAGAATCTTACATTTATAGTCTTGAAATAAATAGACTGAAGTGTTTGTTTCTTTTTCGTGAGAAAATTAATAGGATAATTTTGGTATATTTAGGGCAGATAAGTAGTATTGCACTTCACTTATTCAAAATAAATGTTTATTGTTAACATGGTGATGATGTCGTGGAAAGTTTAATATTTAATTATATTGGCATTTGTTTTAAAAATATCATGAAAACTTAGCATCTGGCAGCTGGATTGATGGATGGTTCACGAGTTAGGAACACATTTTGCTTTTTCAGAGGACTGGAGGTTTTTCCCCAAGATCCAAGGTGGATGACTCCTGTAACTCTACCTCCAGGGATCTGACACCCTTCTCTGGCCTCTACAGGAACCCACACATATGTGGCACACACTCACATGTACACATACACATACTTTTAGAAATGCTTCGCATCTGGATATGGTGGTGCATGCCTTTAACCCCGTATCTCAGGAAGCTGAGGGTCATGAGATGACAGTCAGCCTGGGCTGTATAAAAAGGACTCATAATACTAAACCAACCCTGAAAAGATCTAGTAAATGAGTGCTGGGTGTATAAGTCACTAATGGAATTAGTGCCCAGCATGTCTTGGGGCCCGGGTTGCATTTTCAGTGCCACAAAACCAACAAAATACATGCAGTGCTGGTGAGATGACTCAGTGCATAACGGTGCTGCAGACAAGTCTGACAGCTTGAGTTTGATCCCTGGAACCCATATGGTAGAAGAAGAGAACCAGTTCCCACAGGTTGTCTTCTGAGTTTCACACCAAAGCTGAGGCATGCAAGTTTTCAAACACACATGTGCATGCACTAAATAAATACATATGTAAAGCCAAAAAGACAGCATAAGCAGACTTATCAAATGAGTATAGGATCTTGTTTTAGGGAAAAAAACAGACCAATGGATAATATGATAAATAGCCATCGAATACCATTTTTTTTCACATCTACTACAGTTTCTCTTAATGTCATACTAAAAAGTATCACTTATCTGTCTTTATCATTTCTTTATCTAATGAATTCTCATTCTCTGCTTCTTTTTTTCTTATGTCACTTCTTTATGTAAATGTCTCCATGTTATTTATAATTTAATATTTTTTATCAATTCATTTCTAATATGCCCCTTTATAACTTAATTTTTTAGATTATAAGGTGATTACATAATTTCTCCCTTTTTCTCCCTCCAAATTATCCTACATAACTCTCCAGTTTACTCTCTTTCAAATTCATGGACTTAAAAAAATTTATTGTCATATATATGTATATATGTTTTACATATGTATTATATATGTAAGTATATATGTAGTTACATGCATATATTCCTAAATACATAAATACAACCTGCTCAGTCTATATAACTTATATGTATGTTTTAGGGCTGACCATTTGATATTGAATAACCAGTTGGTGTGCTCTAATATGTCTTTTTCAAACTGGTTATAGTAAGGTTATATGTAGTCTAAATGTTTATCACCTATGTGGTTTGACTTAATGATGCATACTGCCACCAGCTCTTGGAAGCTACAAAATGCTTGAGTTTATGTTTCCTTTATTTAGCAAAGCTACATTTATTTTTCATTATGAGAAGAGAATAGTGATATTTTCTATTTGAGAATTTAGTTTTAGACTCAACCTCACCATTCATAGTTTTTTCTATATTTTTATCTCTGCTATTGTTATAGTCATTTTGATCTATATTTCTTAAATTTTTTCTCTGTTGTTTAGATTAAGGGTCATCTGAGTAGGCCATCTTTTGTAGGGTTTGCTTTGGCAATACCTTTGTAACTAGTACAAAATGGTGCCTAGCATTGTGTCTTCTACATAGTAACACAGAGGACCCAGGGTTATATTATTGTTTGTTAACTGAATTCTTAAAACTTCTCAAATTTTAAGTAATGAAAGTCATCTGTTCTGCTGAAATATTTATATCCTCCAGAAAATTTTCTTTTCTTCCTCAAGGTATATACACACCAATTTTGTTTTTATCTGATTTTTTCTTCTTTATTTTTTATGCGTTTCAAGATAATAACATAAAAACTATTAAGGTTATGTATTACTATGTACTGTCTTGCCAAATGTTTGAAAGCATTAATTATGTTTGAGGCACTTTTTCTTTCATTCTTCACTATATGAAAAATAACCAGCATTATAGTCTTTAAAAAATGGTAATCTTTCCCCATATTCTAAGTGTAGCTCTTATCTACTAGTTAAAGGAGAAATAAATTTGCTTTTTAAAAGTTCTACAGAGAAGATGTAGAATCTATGTGTTAGGTTTTAATACAGTTATTATAGTTTTATGTGTTTCTTTTGTTTATTGCTATTCCTATTTAAAAGTAATTAATATAGTATAAGATTAACCCCAATCACCAGAAAATGCCCCCCAGGACTCCTAGCTTGATTATATACTGAACTGTTCTTTTGCTTATCATTGTTTGAAAATAAACATAGTTTTAGGTCTAGGCTAAAAGAAGCGATGGTTATCCTCTCAAACTAGGGTTGACTGGAGCAATGCCCATGTTGAGTTCAGTGATAATTTTGTCATAGCTGTTTTGCCACTTGTTAGTAAGAATCTTTGATTGGTTAAGGAAGTGTGTATTTTTATTTGGTGAATGATGTTGTCCTAGGAAAGTAACAGAAGAGTCCAGAAGACATATTATTGCTCAAAAACAGTGGGGAAAGTGGTCAGTGAATAGATCATTGTGTAGCTAACTCATAGGCTTCAGATTATGAAGACAGGTTGCTTATAAAGCAGGCCTTATTTTTCTGATTTACAGGATACGCTTCTATGAAGCTCACGTGGTGCCATATGTCTGTTTTCTAACTCCCTGAGCACAGAGATTAGAGGATTTCTTGAGCATAGGGTTGTGGAATGTATCCCTATGGAGAGTGTGATTGAAAGGATAGAAGCCAGCACTCCCCAAGGAAAAAATTCAAATGAAAAGAGTATTTTTAAAAGTCAGTATCAAAAAATATTTTGTGAGATGAATAAATTGCAGATGTCTGCTTATAACATTGTGCCTATAGTTAACCATGCACTTCACACTTAATGAGTCCAGAGTAGATCTCATGTTAATTTTAAATGTTGTATTATATACTGGGGATCAATGTCAGACCTCTTGCATACTAGATAATTAAACACTTTCACCACAATGAAATCCAATTTAGGAAAACGGTATGTTTTACTGAATTAGGAAGAAAATTGAAAAGGGAGCTGAGAATAAAGTGCCAGTATTAGAGTATTTTCTGCATGTGTATGTATGACTTATAATAAAAAAGATTATTCTTAATATTGACTTGAGAATAAAATGAAGGAAATTCTGCTAAAAACTTTAATGGCGCTCTATAAATTATTGATCCATTTCCCCACATTTTAAATCAGTCCTACTTATATATGTTAATATTAGAGAAATGATTTCTATGCTTTGCCTTATAAAACTGATCTTATGTGTCATGGTAAGTGGGTACCTAGCTAGCTTCTTAATATTTGGTTATTATCCTAAAGTATAGAGTATTGTATATGTAGACTTTACAATAGTTTCTGTTAACTGATTCCCTTTATGTATTTACTCTGCTAACTTATTCTATAGTATTTTGATATGCCTTACATTTTTCATAAGTGTTTTATATGCTTTTAGGTGTCCTGAAAGCTTTTTTTTTATTTGTGGAATGTACTTCTGAATACTTTGTGATATAGCTAGATAACAAAGAAGCAATTGTTAAAAATTAAATAACTGAAGTATAACTAATGGTCTTAGAAAATAAAAGTACATTTTGAGAAATTTAAGCCTTGGGTTTAGAATTATAAAATGTATTATGACATGTTTCTCATACTTTTTATCTGATTAATCAGCATTTCACTTTGTGGAGCATTGTGTTAACCTCTAGTTTGTTATAACTACTTGGATAGTTCTCTTAACCCTTGAAACCTAGCCATTCTTTCTTTTCTGTTTCCTTTACTAATGACTTCCTTGTCTTCTCCAAACAATCTCCCTTCTACCATCTTTTGATTTGGTTGATATATGTGAAATGTGAAAATAGATGGAGGCCTTTAAGTTATAGAACATCATTCAGTGACAAACTCTTCCAGAGGACCAGAGCAGCAGGACGGAAATCAAGGTATCTAGAGTTGGTGGAAGCCATAAGTATTAAGGGGCCAGGCTTATGTAGCTCAACTGTTACCATTTTGTTTGGTTAAAATAAGTACTGGGAACTGTTTAGGGAAGCATACTAATCTCAAACAGACATTTAGATAAAGTAGATGTTTAGTTTTTCTTTATCAAAGAGTAAAAAAAAAATCAATGTATATTCCAGAGTTCTATATAGTTAAATTTTCAAATACATACTACATATTTTACATGCAAGTTGGCCTCAACTCTCTTTTTCTACTACAGTATGATACATGAATCATACTAGTAAGTGTGGTGTGGAGAGACATCATTTTTATCATGGTGAAGGTCATAACTGCTTGACCAGTTCCCCCTAACAATTCTTTCTTTCCCGAGTAGTACTTATTGTCATTTCTCTCTCTTTTATTTATTTATTTTTTAAATAAAGTCTATTTTCCTATGATATTTCAGTACCATAATTCTGCATTTTTGGATCTAAGGAAATTTAAGCACATGTACATAGGAAAAAATTTTTTAAAGTGTGCTTAATTCTGTGATTGTTTGGCCCAGAAATAGAGTGGCTTGTATGAATACTTGACCTTTTGCCATCATTGCATCTACTTAGTGAGGCTATGCTCAGAGCCAAGTTAGTGAGGAAGAGACCTTGCACTAACTGACTGCTCTATAGTCACCTAGAGCTGTAATTACCAATGTGTGTTTAGTTCATATACAATTCATTTAAATTCTTTTCTATAGTCTTTAGATTGTTGATGTCTAAAGAATTCTTTTGTAAAATTAAGTTACATTTATATGCATAAGAAGAATATTTGAATGTGTACAATTATTTATTTTAGTGGAAGATAGTTACTAATTTACCACTTTTGACGTTGAGATTAATACTTAGAATTAGATAAAGCCATGAACAAATAATTTTCTTTTATAGGGAATCATAATTTTTTGTTTATTTTTGTTCTAATACTCTTTCCTATTGAAGGTTTAAGAATTTTGTGATTTTTTTTAAAAAAGGAATTGACCTTTAACACTGATTTTTGCATTTACAATTAAACTTTATTATTTGGCTATTGTCAAAATGGTTATGAAGTACCGACATAACTCCTGTCATTTTCTGTCCTGGGACAAAGGAAATGACTCAAAATGGTACCTAAAATATTTCATTATGTTCTATGTAAATCAGAATAAGATATACACAGAGTAAACATGCAATGGCTGGAAAATATCCACATTTAGAGAATGATTTCAAAAACAAGATGCAAGACAGATTTTGAGAACTTCATTCATAAATGGTGTGCTGATGGGCATCTAAATCTAAATAGTACTGAAATACTATTTTCTAGCAAAGATCTTTGACCTAGATGCAGTTTATTTAGGACATAGATATCATATATGTGCAATGTTCTCTTCAGTATAGTGTGTAATTAATGTGTTGATTTACTTCTAGGATTCTTAATCATTCAACTTCTGTCATGAGAAATAAGCTGAAACAAACTGTGGAATGTGAAAAGAGGTATAAACATATCATAGTCCTTATATTTGGTATTTTAAAATGAGACTTGATACTCTTTAGTAATTTTCCTCAAAAGGTGTTAACTGAATATATGATGCAGATGTCATATAAGTAGATAATTTAAGCATCAAGTATGTCATAACATGAGTTCAATTGAGTTTTCTATAAACAAACACCCTGATTCTGAACCTTTTTCTTTATACTTGCAGTTTGTCTTGATTCATTCACAAATGTTTATCCTATTGACATTACCACCAGGAATAATGTATTTCTTCAGCACTGGTTATGGTTATTCTTTTTTATTGTTTGCATTTTAATTTCTTTTAATTGGGTTTTACTAAACTATTTATTTAATGACCTAAGTTTACAGATATGAATTTTAGAGAATTAGAAGATCTGAAATATTTATTGTTCTTTGTGGTTTCAAATTTAAGTTTTATCCAACCTCTGGGTCAATCTTTGGGAAGTATAAAATTTCAAAGATAGGGATACAGAGGCACACATTGAATGATCATTTGGTGGATGCTGGATATAGGTGCACTGTTCTTAGCTCTGTAAATGACTGATTCAATCATCACAATAAATTGGTGACGTTGTTACTGTTGCTATCCTCATTTTACACACTGGCGAACTGAAACTCAGAAATAATCATAGCTAACTCAAGATCACATTGTAAGTTGGAGAGTCAGGATTCAAACTCAGATTTGTCTTATCGCAGAACCTGAAGTCTTAATGTACAGTAAAAATAAGTTTACTTCAAATCCACGCATCTCATTGGATATGTTTCTGTAGAGAGTGCAGATTTATGTTTCCCAATGCATGTCTTCTCCTGTATCATCTGCCCCAGTGAATGTGCAAGTACTTATGTAGTCCCCCAAGTTAGCAACTCTGGAAACACCTCACAGTTATGCCTTCCTCATAATATGGTCAATCATTCAAAATTAATACGGCCTTAATCCTCTTTCCATCCTCTCCATTACTAATTTAGCTGTGTTGGTTCAGCTCCCATTGTTGTCCATGTAAGTGACTGGGACGGTCTCCACACATAACTCCTTTCTTTTCTGTATTATTAAAGAAGATAGGTTGTAAAACTGAAATATGACAATGCAACACCTGTTTCTTATTTTCTAATGGGTATTAATACCTTTTATGATAAAGGTTAAAATGTTGAGATTAACTATAAAGTTGAAATGGGCTTCTACTTATCTTCAATCTTAGTTCAGAGCCTCATCTTTGCACTCTCTAGAGAGACAGACTTTCAGTTTAGGAGCATAATTCTTTTATTTATTTCAGCATGATTTCCTATTTCTAAATTCTATATTGTGGTCTCCTTTTCATGTTGCCCATGTTTCTTCCTTTCTTTGCATGATTTCTTAGAATTCAGCTCAATTCTGCATGGTAGTGGTGAGGGCTTCATAGTCGACAGCATCACAGTGGTCGAAGCAGGTATAGAAGAGGTCACACAGTAAGACAGGAAGCCAGAAGGATTCAATAATTAATTTCACTTTTAGTTTTTTATGTAATGCAACTTATTCTCATCAGAAGCAACTGGAGCTCCTAGAAAACTACATTAATCCCTTGCAAAGACAGGCTCCCCAGTGACCATATTGTATTGTACTTAGCTCTACTCCTATAGACCTCACCAGCTTCTACACCACCACTCTGAGCTTCAAGCTCTTAATTATTATGAAACTTGTGGGGAACACACTGTTTTCAAGGTATAGCATACCCTTCTTCTATATGTGCATATGAATATTTGCATTTGTTTGTGTATGTAGATGTGTGCATCAGTACATACAACAGTGTTTATATATGGGAATGTGCATTTTGATACATACCACAGTGTTTATATACAAGTGTACATCAATATATATTATGGTGTTTATATATAAGTTGTATATTTATTACAGTGTTTATATATAAGTTGTGCATTGATATATACCACAGCATGGTAGAATTTGTTATTTACTTACCATTGACACTTAGATGTATAGTATGTATAGTAGAAATGTCTGATTTCCAGAAATCATACTTCTATTCACTTTTGTTGCACACTCAAACGTGCTTTTTCTGGATTTTCCCCATTTCAGAAAGTGCTAAATCCATTCTTATTGTACAACAGCTGAAAAAACTTCATCCTCTGTCATTTTCTCTCAAACCCCTTAGCTAATGCATTACCAAATCGTGTTGACTAGTGAGAATATTTCTAGAATCTGATCACATCTTACCAAGTCCGCTTCTGCCAACCTTGCTCTGTACACACCCAACTGTGTACAGGCATAAGGTGGCAAATACGGATTTCCTCCAAGAGTTTACCTGGGGAATACAGTTTTGCCTTACTGTACAGGCACTCAACAATTATTTTAGGTCAGATCAGCCTATACTCCTTTGTTCCTGAAAAAAAAAAAAAACCTAGGAGTATATTTAATAGAAACTGTCCAAGTTTTGATAGTCAGTAGGAGAGTAGAATGATATTCCAATGTTCAGAGAGGGTTCTGTGGGTAGTCCAATGCGGGTGGGATTATAGATTGTCAGGTGGCTTGTCCAGAGAGGTATGTATGTGCATAGTATGGTATGGGACAGTGAAAGAGTTGGACTGGCAAGTACTTTATTAGAAGAGTTGTGCATGCGCTCTCTCTCTCTCTCTCTCTCTCTCTCTCTCTCTCTCTCTCTCTCTCTCTCTCTCTCTCTCTCTCTCTTTCCGTTCCTCTCTCTGTCTGTCTCCCCACCCTTTGTGTGTGTGTGTGTGTGTGTGTGTGTGTGTGTGTGTGTGTGTGTGTGTGTATGTGTGTGTGGGGGTGCGCACGCGTGCGTGCACAACCAAACCAAATATAGTCCCAGGTTGCTATTCTATGTGTTTACCTGCTTCATTATTATACTTTCCTTTTTTTCTTTGACTCCTAAATTCTCTTCGAATTCTAAATGTAGGGACTGTCTGGATTCTGCTGTGATTCCTTCTCCCTGGTCTGTGGCGTGGAAATGCTCTCCATGTAGCATGACATTCATATTTCATTATCCATTTCTAAGATTCTTTATTTACATTTAAAATAAATTTATTTAGTTGGTAGATTTTTGTATTTGATAAGAGATAGGGAACCTAGGATATTTGTCTTCCTTTCTATCCTTCCTCCTTTTTCTTACCCATTCCCTTCTGCTGTTTCTTTCTATATTTTACAAGTAGTCATTCAGTTGTTTGTTTATATATTACTTGTTACATAATCTCCGATTTCCATACATTTAAATGTCATTTGTACCATAAGTTGCTGTACTAAAAATTTTGTACTCTATCTTCCACTGAAAAAAATCTTCAAATTCTGGAATTGTGTTACTGTATTTTCATATTGTTATATATTTTATTACTTGCTAGGAATAGAGATGTCTCATGTATTCTTATAAATGTTTATTATTTTCTCTCTACTTATTCTTCCTCCTCTTAATCTGTGGCCCAGGGTGACCTTTACCTTACCAGTGTATACCAATCAATCTCCATCTCATGGTGATAGATCAACCTTGTGAGTGCTGAGACAACCAGTATGAGCTACCATGTGTAGCATGAATCTTAAAAGCTCTTATAAATAAAATCAAACCTGAGGCCAGTTATTGGGGTGATATGCTGGAAGGTCAAAGAGACAGAACAAGCCACAGCTAACCTCACCTGGCCAACTTCTCAGCTGGTCTTGTTTCCTCAGACTGTAAGCTTCTGTGTCCTCATATCCAAATGGCTCTCAGCTGAACTGTGCTGCTCACAATCCTGAAGCTTAACCAGCTAAAAGCTTCTAGTTTCTGGTCCTCACGCCTTATATATCTTTCTGCCTTCTACCATCACTCCCTGGGATTAAAGGCTAGTTTTCTGTGATTAAAGGCGGGAGTCACCATACTTGGATTTCTGCCTCTGGAATGCTAGGATTAAAGGCATGTGATACCACTGCCTAACCTAAGTTTCTAGTGGCTTTTCTGTTCTCTGACCCCAGATAAGTTTATTAGAGTACACAATATTTTGGGGAACACAATACCACCACAACCCTGCTCAGCTTTACCCCCTTCCTCCCCCCTCTCTCATTTACATTTTTAAAATTTTTTGAGTGTGTTTGGGTTTGTATGTGTGTCTGTGTGTTTGGGTGCCCATAACAGAAGAGGATGTTGGATCCCTTGGAGCTAGAAGAGGCACGTGTTAGTGTTGAACTCAGGTCCTTTGGAGCCCCTGTTAATGTCATGACTGAAGCTCAGAATCAGTAATTCAGTAGGAAATATAACATGTTTGTCTTCTGAACTCTTTGGCATTTAGGCAAAGGAATTTATGTATGTATTTATTTGTTTGTTTATTATGCATGTGCATGTGTGCCGTGGCACAGGTGTGGATGTCAGAGGACAACTTTCAAGGATTCAGGGTTTTGGGTCTCCCCTTCCACTTTGTGAATCCCAGGGATCTAACTCAGGTTGTCAGGCTTGTTGGCATGCTAGTGCCTTTACATGCTCACTCATCTCACTGATACTATTACTTGATTTTTTAAAAAGAGTAACTTGTTTTCTCTAATATTTTGTTTATTCACTGTACATTTGTACATATTATACTCCTTTTGGCCTCTACAAAATAGGGTTGGCTTATGCATATGGTTAATATAAAATAAACCCATTTTGGTATTTCTTGTAGAGCAATAGTTAGCAGGCACTCACTATTGGTTGGTTTCATCAACTTTAATTTATATAATATTAGTAAGCCATGTGGTGGTTAATACCTGCTATTGTAGTCCGTGGGGGCTGGTTTCAGTAGTGAGTACCAGGCCGTCCAGGACTACACAGCACGCCCCAGTCTCAGCAGAAAACAACACAAAGTAACAAAGCAACACAATCAAATGAAACATGTAGGTATGGATAGTCTTTACACTGCTTACATTCCTGCCTTCGAACAATGAAAAGACAAATTTGTCATTTTTAAAGTATGTGAAAGGATTTCAAAATACCTCAAGAAATACTAAAGCGTCTTTAATTTTTTAGTGTCTCAGCAGATGAAGGGAATTCACCATTATCACCCCTGGCGTGGCAGGTAAGAGAAATAAAATGAATGACACGTGTACTATTTCGTTGTCATTTGTTTAGTAAGCTGAACAACTTTTCTCATTAAAGCCATTAGAAAATCAGAAGGATCAAATAGGTGAACAACAGTGGCCAGAATCTCAGCCTATAATCTGGCAAAATGAAGAACGGAGACGGAGCAAGCAGATCAGAAAAGACTATTTCAAGGTACCTTATTAAATTTTAAATTTTGTTTTATACGTATGACATTTTTATTCTTAACCGTTTTTGTTTTAAATTAATAAGATATGACTCTCCAGTTAAGTTTCACAACTGTGTTCATGTTGATTGCCCTCCTCTGTAGGATAATGATATGCTATGTAATATAGCCACAAAATTTCAGTAATTCAAATTAATTAAGTGTACATCAGTATACACCATGATTTTTCTAATAGTTAAGAGAAAGATGAATGTTTGTGTGTTACATTGCAAATTGTGGCAATTAATTCTGTGAGTCTTTTTTATTTGAGGTAGGGTTTCACTCTGTAGCCCAGGTTAGCCTCAAATCACTATCTCCCCCCTTACCACCACCGCCTCTGTCTCCTATGAGCTGGGATTACAGAAGTGAAAAACCAGGCCTGGTTCAGAAAAAGATTTTCTTTATTTTTATTTAAAAGTTTTTTTTTTTCATTTTATATACCACCCACAGTTTCTCCTCCCTCCCCTGTCTTGCTCCCCCTCCACTTCCCTCCTGCCCCACCCCTCATCCACTCCTCTGAGAGGGTAAGGCCTCGTATGGGGAATCAACAAAGTCTGGCCTATCAAATTGAGGCAGGACCAAGCCCCTCTCCCCTTCATCAAGAGTGAGCAAGGTATCCTACGATAGGGCATGGGCTCCAAAAAGCCAGTTCATGCACTAGGGATAAATCTTGGTCCCACTGCCAGTGGCCCCGCAAACAGACCAAGCCACACAACTGTTTTCCACATGCAGAGTGTCTAGTTTGGTCTAATGCAGGTTCCCCAGCTGTCAGTTTAGAGTCCATGAGCTCCCACTACCTCAAGTCAGCTGTCTCTGTGGTTTTCCCCATCATGATCTTGACCCCCCTTGCTCATATACTCCCTCCTCCCTCTATTCAGCTGGACTCCAGGAGCTCTGCCTGGTGCTTGGTTGTGGATCTCTGCATCTGCTTCCATCAGTTACTGGAATGAAAGTTATATGATGACAATTAGTGTAGTCACCAATCTGATTACAGGGGAAGGCCAGCTTAGGTACCCTCTCCACTATCACTAGTAGTCTAATCTGAGGTCGTTCCTGTGGATTCCTAAGAATTTCCCCTAGTACCAGGTTTCTCCCAAACCCCATAATGACTCCCTCTATCAAGATATCTCTTACTTTGCTCTCCCTCTCTGTGGCTTCCCCAAGTTGACCATCTAGTTCCCCCATGTTCTCATCCCCTATACTCCCCCACCCCTGTACTTCCAGTTTACTCAGGAGCTCTTACCTCTCAGAAAAAGATTTTCATTGGATTTGTTTCAATAAATAGTTCAGAACTATTTTCAGTTAGTGTTTAACCACACATCTATGTAAATAATTAGTTGAAGACTGGTCCATTTCCTTGTTATATTAGTAGAATTTTTTTCCTTTTTGTTTTTTGGGTTTTTTTGAGACAGGGTCTCACTATGTAGGTCTGGCTGTCCTGGAACTCTCTGTGTAGACCAGGCTTGCCACCAACTCACAGAGATCCTCCTGTCTCTGAGGTGTGCGTCACTACACATGGTTCAGTAGATTTCTTAAGATGGTCTTTTAGTAAAGCTAAGTTAAAATACTAGAGCATGTGAATTATCCCAAAATTCTATTACATTATTATTTATTTGTGTTTCTAGTCTGTTATATTTGCAGGGGACTGTCACCAAAATTTAGAATATTTTTTAATGTGAATCAGCATTTACTCTTCTAATTGATGCAGATGAACAGTACAAACTTGGTCCCTATACCCTGAAGAGGAAACTGTGTTGTCTCACACCTCCCCCAAACCTCTTCTCATTAAATTACAATCATTTTCTCTAAACATGTAGTACTCAGCTAAGTTACACATTATTTCAAGTTCATGGCACTAATAAATAAGATTCATTTTTTTATTTTGGTGTTCAGCAGAAGTTGGTTTCTCAGTCTATATTTTTTTCTCTTTCCATATATTGGAAAGCAACGTGTGTTTGAAAGTAGCATATGACCGAAATAAAAATGATGTATGCCTTAACAAATATGTAATCACCTTAAACTTTAAACAAATAATTACTGATTATTTTTAACCACTGGATTTTGGGTTAATTGGATAATATGAAAAACCCATAGGAAGGAAAAGGGCAGGGCATTCCGGTGAGAACTCTTTCTTCAGAACCCTTTGTAACTCTGCAAGTAGGTTTATATCCTGCCATTTATCTTTAGTTTCCCTTAGTTCCATGTAAACTTAAACCAAAGCACTGAATATAAGTATGTTTATAGGTGAACTTTGATGACTGACTTACAGCGTAGTAATTGTAAGCAACAAAAGGTAGTTGATATTTCTTTGATTTCCTTTATCCCAATATAACATAACCATACTGATTATATTTATCAAAGCACTTGTATTGGAATTATGAAGTGCCAGACACTGTCATAAACCTTTACAAATATGACTAGCCCCTTAAGTCTTCAAGAACCTTCAGTAGCATAAATGCAGTTATCATTTCTGTTTTACAGACAGGGATATTAAGGCCTAGAAAGTGGAATAGTGTGCTAATCATATATTTGAGATTAGAGTTCAGAGCCTTCCCAATGCTGCTACTTTGTGCTGTGAATAGCTTGATATAAACTGTCACACACTAACATTAATATAGTTTCATTGTTTTAAAAATATTTTTCCATAATTCAAGTGAACTTAATAGAGGTGTTAGTGAGTCTTTATCATAGTCAACTGTTCCTTGGTTTAAAAGCATCATTTGTTCATTCAATAGTCTAGTCGTGAAGGCTTATATGCTTCTTCAACTGTATCAATTATATTACAAAGTTGCTAAAAGGTAAAATTGGATAGTATATGAAATGACCATTATATAGCCATCACTCAGTAAATGTTCATTTCTTTCATACATCATAAAGTGGGTATAAACATAATCTTCAGTTACTGAGAAATGTTTTAAGGACATGTGTAGTTCTTCTCAACTGTCAGAAGATGTCAGTGTTAGGACATTGCATAAAAAATTGAGTATCAAATTATTCCTATGATGTCAGGAAAATATAAAGTCAGGATGCAGTGTAGCTCATTGATAACAGCACTTGCTTTGTATGCTTAAGGCTGTTGAGCATCAACACAAAAAGAGCAATATAAAATGGAACTAATGGTACATTAGTCACAGCTAAAAAAATACAGTAGAGGAACATATGTCTCGTATCTGTAATTCCTAATACAGCTCGGTTTGTGACTGAGATGTTAGCTAAGTTATTTCCAAGGGATATGTAAGACAGAGTCACATAAATGGAACAATTAAATAGATCCCTGAATATCAGGCAAAAAAGTTTGGGACATGATCTGAGAATTAGTAGTTTTTGAAATAGAACTACTATGAACTCCTGTTTAGTTCTACCACTGATATGCAGAAAAATTCAATGCATTTTGGCAAGGAATCTGAAAATAAGAATTTTAGTGATTGTCACACTATATTATCTTGATTCTAAGAATTACTCTGTCACATATTCGAATTCTTTATGTTGAACATGTTATCTCTATATTTCACTATAAAATTGGGATGAAAGTACTTATACTATTATAAAGAGTAAACTTCTCAATACATATAATGCATTTCAGTCATTACTACTGGATTGTAAGCGATAGTTCTAAATGTTAGCTTTTAGTACTATTACTATTATTGTGTAGTTGGCATATGCATTTAACGTAGTCTTTTAAAGCCTGAAATCAGTAGATTGCTTTGTTGTGGTGCTGAGGATTGAACCCAGAGTTTCATAGGTGATAGGAAAGCATGCTACCACTGAAACACATCTCCAGTTGTTTTTAAAACAATTGCTATTGTCTTAGTGTAGTGAAATTACAAACCATGTGAACAATGGTAGGAAACTTGGACAGGTGGTAGTTGTAAGAATTCAGAGGAAGTAAGTGTAAGAAAGATTGCCAAAAAAGTGGACTTGATGACTTGTTGAATGCAGTGAACTAAGAAAAATGAGGACTCTAAGACAGTGGTTCTCAACTTTCCTAGTGCTGTGACCCTTTAATACAATTCATGTTTTGGTGACCACCAACTTTAAAATTATTTTCATGGCTACTTCATAACTGTAATTTTGCTACTGCTAGGAATTACAGTGTAAATATCTGATATACTGGATATCTGTCTATGCAGCCCCTTGTAAAAGTGTCGCTTGACCTCAAATGTGTTTCAACCCACAGATTGAGAACCGCTGTTCTAAGACAACCCTCAGATTGCAAACTTAAAAGAATGGGAAATGGGTGTGGCTTAGGGAGGAGATCCTATTTGACATCTTTAGAGGGTTTGGGATAGTGTTACAGTATTTTGTGTGTGATTAGGAGGGGTGTTTAAACTAACTGCTTACTTAAGTTTAATATCAGAAAGTTTCATAAAAGTACCAATGTAATAATAAGTCTCATGTGTCATTTTGAACGAAAATTCACATGTTTAAGGAAAAATAACGTATGCATTTAAAATGTTTTGCAGTACAAGTCAACAAGGAAGAATTCAAGCGGCAATGAAAATGAGGAGGTGAGACAAAGGGTGATATGGATTTGAATTCTTTACTCTTATATTTAGGTGCGTTAGTAAGAATTAAATTAAATTAAATTAAAGCAGCTCTGCTGTCATTTTCTTTCTTACAAAGCATGAGTTTCCTGTAATAAAAAAAAAACTGAGCATTGTCATATAGTTACTAATTTAATCCTTTGTTTTCTAGAACAAAATTTCTAATAGTTGTAGCAGTTTATTATTTGTCTTGGATCTGTAACCCATCAGTTTATATTGGTTATCATTCTCCACTTTCACTTTCCCAAACAGCATGGCAGTCAGTGGAGAGTTTATATTTTTCAAAAATGTGTTAACACTGTGTGCATGTGTTGGCCTGATGTGTGTGCCCAGGTGTGAGTGTATGCGTTTCAGGGCATGCATGTGGAGGTCAGAGGACAGATTTTAGGAGTCTGTTCTCTCCTTTCACCTTGGATTACAGATACTGAACTTGAAGTCAAGTTGTCAGACTTCGGGGGGAAAACACTTTCACTGTTGAGAGATTGTATCCATCTAAGATTTTTAAGGAACACTCTTCACAGATCCTGTTGAGGGTTTTAAATTTAAAATTGTATTTATACAGTTTTCATTACTGTAAATGTTTCTGTTGCTCCAGGTTAAGCACCCCTCCTGAAACATTTCATCACTGCCATCCCCAAGTTTTGTCTCTATGTGGTTGGGGAAATTGGTAGTTTATTTGATGTTTAGTATTTTGCAGGGCATCTGAAAACAAATGTATTTCTTAGAAATAAAATTACACTGGGCAAAATAAGTATCTATTATGAATTACCTTTGCCTAACCCAAATGCAGTTGTTTTTCCATGTCTTATCAAAGTAGTATTCATGGGATCTCCCCCCCCCCCCCCCCCGCAAAAAAGATGTTTCCTAAGCTTCCAATCATTTCATTGTTAGTTTCTGTGGTAGATCGTGAAAGTAGTTTTGTGTAGGGGTGTGTGTGTGTGTGTGTGTGTGTGTGTGTTTGCTAATATTTAGCTGTTTATGTTTCACAGAACTACAGTCAGTTCTGTGTACCTGCTGCTGGCTTTCCATTGCACTTTACAATATCAGTTTGACCCTTCCACTTTATTTCTCCTTATGTCATAGCCCACAGTATGGACTCGAATGTGCTGGTCAGTGCTCAGACTTTTGGTGACTAAAATCAGTATACCTAATGGTAGCTCCTGGTTTATGTCTCTAGTCCATCCTTTACCATTGAGCCTTAGGCTTTTGTAGTAATGTGTCCTTAGCTGCTTGGAGTCTTTTGATCACCTAGGATTCAACATGTTCATCTTTTTTCCACAATTCAAACATGTTTAATTTTTCAATTTATGCAATGCCTTTTTAAACTAGGTTGCATATTGAAGACTCACGATATCTGGATTTTACCTACATTCATATTTAATTGGTGTGTGTGTGTGTGTGTGTGTGTGTGTGTGTGTGTGTGTGTGTACACATGTGTGTGTGCGTGTGTATGCTATGACACATTTTCCATTTGAGTTTTCCATTTGAGTTTACTGTCTAGGCAAAGCTGGTAACTCCTTTATAAAATCACCATCTCCCGTGACAAAGCAGAGATTGGCAAAGTGGCCCAGAATGGAACCTGGCCCACTTGCTATGTTTGAAAGTAACGTTTAAATACAGAAGAGTTGCAGCCATTTGCCTGCAGATGCTTTTGCATTCTAATGACCTAGTTGTGCGGTTACCACTGAGACCACGTGGTCCATGATATCTGAAATGTTAACTATCTAGCCTTTAACAGAAAACATTCTTTGAACTTCACGCTAGAGGTTCACCTTGGCTGTTCTCATTGCCTCTTCATAGTCAATTTCCTCCCACCTGTTTCAGTGTCTATCAATTATGAAAACCTACTAATCCGCTTGTTTCTTTTGGAGCACTAAAATATTTTGTCTACACTACCTTCTTTTCCATCTTTGCTTCCTTGGCACGGGTCTTTAGTCTTTCTTGCTTGGATTGCTATAGTAGCTTCCTTGCTTTTCTGTATCTATGTTATCTCTGTCTGACTATTTTATATCTATCTTTTTATCATTTATCGATCTGTCTACTTACCTATTTACCCACCTACCTATCTATGTAGTGTGTGTGCCACACATGCATGCACGCCGGTACACCCTTTGTTAACTTCCAGTGACTTCCTCAGTCCTTTTCAACCTCATTTTTTGAGACAGGGTCTCTTACTGAATCTGAAGCTCCCAGATTTAGCTAGACTTGTTGATCTTTGAGCTCAAAGGATTCACCTCTCTGTGCCTTCTCATTGTTAGGATCACAGAGACATGCCATCAAATTCGTCATCGTATGTGGATACTGGCTGTCCCAATTCAGGTCCCTACGCTTACACTACAAGCACTTTAGCAACTGAAATGTCTCCCTCACCCCTCTTCTCTCTTTAGCCCATTCTCACACTGCTTTCAGAATGCAAGTACAATAAGGCTGTTCCTTTGCTTAGAAACCTTAAGTTTCACCCCATGCCTTAAAAGGTAAATTCTCAGTCCTTTTGGATCAAGGCCCTGGTAACCATATCATAAACTCACAACTTGTTCTCTTTTCACTTTTTTTTTTTACCCTTTCGAATTCAAAGTTGCTTTACAGTCATCATTTTTTTATTTATTTATACTTCTGTGTCTTTGTTCTTATCTTTTCACTTTACCTGGCTTTTATTGACTTTTTACTTTCTCAAGAAACAGTTTTTTACCGCCCCTTCCTTTCCTCTACAGTTTCTCTGTGATCCCTACTGTGCCATACATATACTGGGAATGCTAGATTAAATGTGCACGTGAATCTGTCTTCCCTCTAGACTGAGACATTCTTTAAGAATGATATTTCACCAAATTTCCTTATTCTTAGTGTCTAGAATAGTAGCTGACATTGTCAGTGGCCAATAATCATTTGTCAGATGAATACATGTTTTATGTGGTATACATTTTCTAGGTTAAATAACAGGATTTTTTTTCATTTGGTTGTCATTAGAATATTCATTCATAAACCGTGAACCATTTATTTGTTTTTATTCAATTAAATTTGTAAATATTTCTCTACTTACACTAATACACATAATCTTCCAGTTAGTTTCTTGTTTATCATGATGATCTTTTGCTAGTCTTCATTGATGTGTCTTGGGGGTAATACATCTTACCTCTTGTGTCTAGATTGTACTTTTAAGTCTTTAAAATTCTTATAAATCACTAGGAGATTTTACATAGAATCTGATTCATTGTTAGTTGGGGCCAGGGATTTTGTATATCTAACAAATTCCAGAGGATGCCTGTACTGTGTTTCACCGACAACATTTAAGTGGCAAGGTGTTAGGTGTTGTACATTGCCAATTCCTCCTTTGACAGTTGATTGAAACAATTTTCCATTGTCCTTTTGTATGTTAAAATCATCATTGTGTATTTTAATTTCATCTTTCATGTTTTTATTTTTATATTTTAGCAAGAGAGTGATAATGCTCATATGTCACCACAGTCTCCAGTATCATCCGAGGTACAAGTTGTTTTAATGCTTTGTATCTTTTCTATGCCTCCTTTCTCAAACTTCATCTTTTTTTTACAAAGTAATTTATTCACTCCTTTTTGAAATCTGTGTTTGATTACTTTGTACAAGTCTTGTCTGTAAAAATAATTATGAATACCATTCCTTTGTATGAATATCTCTAGTAAATTTCACTAACTTGTGGTTTTCTGTGGAACTTATTTCCATACCACAGAACATACATCATTTTATGAGGTATATGCTTTCTTATTCCTCTACATATTAAAATAAGTGGTGGATTTTAGCAATAGCTTTGGAATTTTAAAAAGCCTTTAAGCATTGTGCAATGGCCTTTGGTTTTCCTTGTAACCAATTAGGTCTGAAAGCAATGCAAGAGAAATGTCCTTTTTCCACGAGAAACAATCCTGCAGTGGGTTGTTCCTATCGACAGGAGGTCACACTTTTCCTGGCGTCTTAGATCTAAAGAATAATGGGAGAGCAGGTATATGAAAGACATAATTTCTAAAATTTTGTTCAAGTACTATGGTGGCTTGAATGACTAGTTTGTGTAACTTAATCTTTTGCTTTACCACAAGAATTTTAAACATTTGAAATAGTATCTCATTTAGTTTTGATTACTTTTAGTATTCTAAAGTCCATTTTCATTAGTAGGAAAATGATCATTCACTTGGTGAATTTAGGTCTTAAAATGCTTGACTGATCTCAATTTATTGTATGAATTTGATTATATAGTTTTATCTCATTATATGTAAGTATATTTGTTTTTAGAAATCTAAGATTCTTTCTGTATTGTTTTGGGTGATTTGTATTATAAAACTTTCCTATGGCCACGAGCATGAGTTTAATAAAAATGCTTATAAATAATATAGAAAATAGAATTATATATATGGTGTTAGAGAACAATTTAAATTAGGATATCCCCAAATTAGTCATAGTTGCATGCTTTTGTAAATCCTTTCTTTGTAAGTTATAACAACTGTAAGGATAGACATGACTTCCACTTGGTTTGCATAGTTGCTTTGTGATTTATGGCCTGTGTCTACCAGGAAGTGTATTAATGTCAAATTTTCAGGTAAGTTATATTACTTTTATAATTTTTGCTTGTATTTGGATAAGTGGAACTTTGTTCAGGAATTTACAACAATTTAAAGAAACTAACAGAGACAACACATAAGGAAGTAGATTATAGGATGGCGAACATGTTAACATAGCTCCACTAACATTCACTGGGAGGTGCCTAGTGCATCTAGGGAACATTCAGACACCTTACAGGATTCGGACTGCTTCAGTTTCATGTGAAAAGTAAGTAGTAAAATCCGCTAGTGTACCACATTCACAAAGTCACTCTGCTTCATTGAACATAAATAGAGTCCCATTTTAAGTGCCTTTGTCATTTTGTAGCTGAAAAGACCAGTAGCTTTCCTAAAGAACCTAGTCGGTAAACGGTAGAGAAGTAACTAAAGCTTTGGCCCTTCCTGCTTCCCAGAGTTGTCACCCAGAATATTATGGTGCCGCCACGATTGCATTATATTTATTTATTTTTATGAATTATAAAATTTATCAAGCACTTTCAGCTACTTCATTTAATTTTTCCAACAATCTCATTTGAATCGCATGGACTTAATCACATTAAAATGAAATGTTTACACAAATATACTTTAGGCTTTTCACTCTGATCGGGGATTTACTTAATGTTATATTTATCTTTCCATAGCTCACCATGGTTTGCAGAAACACTTTAAAATAATGTGCGTTCAGATGGAAGAGATAATCATTTACTCTCATCTGTTATTCTAAAACCCCTGTAATTGTGGATGGGCCTTAAATTTTCCACTGCTGAGTATCAAGTCAATGGTGCATACAGAGTCCATGTTGGTAAATCTTTTAGTTGATGTGTGTTTCATTATTTTAGAGACCTTAACTTGATTCTTCCTTAAAAAAATCTATTACCTTGAATGATTCTCCTTGAAAAGTCTTTTCATACTGTAAGAAAGTATTCTGGGCTGGCAAGGTCACTGGGTAAAGGCTTTTGCCACCAAACCTGACCAACTCAGTTTGTTCACAAGGACTCACATGATTGAAGGAGAGAAGTTACTCCCCCAATTTGTCTTCTGACTGTCTCATACACACACACACACACACACACACACACACACACACACACACACACACGCACACACGCACACACGCACACACAGAGATATGTGTGCGCACACAATTTACTTTTTAAAAATGAAATAAAGATTTAAAATTGCATACCCAGGTAAATGAGGAATATTTATTGACTTTTAAAATGTGAAATATATCAACTTGATTTTAAATTTAGGTTGACTTTTCAATATTTAAGTAAACACTGGAAATGAATACTTCTCAAAACTGGAGAGGGTATGAATATGTGCCTTGATGACTTTGCAACAACAAAGGTTTTGCTTTTTTTTTAGGAATATGACAGGACTGATGGCTTTTCACATGGTCCCTTTGGCTTGAAGCCTAGATCAGGTAAATATTTAGTATATTCTTTAAATAATATTGGTTGTCTTTGTTTAATATAGAGTTTCCCAGCTTAAATGGGTTGGAATCCATAATTTTATGTACTCAGAGATTCTTTCCCCTCTTCTAAAAGCAATTTTCTCTTGATCTTATTTGTCTTTACAATTCCCATAGTCATTTCTTTCTTTCCCATTCTCTTCAAGCTCCTGGAACCTCAGATTTTTGCCTTAGGTGTCCTGCAGTCTTATTTCTCCCCTGCTGTGACTATTGTTAGAATGAGCCCTGTGCCAGCAGGCAAAACTGTTGCAAATGATAGCACTCCTGCATTATATTGTGGTTTAAAACAGGGATCTTTTTGCATTTGGCATGCTCCAGAGAAAATGGATCCATTTTACTTGGCAAGGTATTGAATTATAGTCTTATTCCTGAATAACCACCTTGACCTTCCAGAATAATTTCCTTTTTTCTTTAAAGCTAGAAGACTATCATATGTTCAGTGATCACTTTTAACCTGGGTCATACGTTTCTCATAACATATGGTTAAATAAAAACTTACATAAGTGGTAGAAATCATTGCCCTTGTATTGCCTATTGCTTTTCAACTATGTAGCTAACGATCATTTACATATAATTAAAAATATTTGGAACGCATTATTAATAACATGTGTAATTCTCTGATTCTATTTATCATGCCTCTTTCTCTGTGAATGGCTGTTCTTTGTATTATCTTCCTAAAAAGTTAGGGAATTTCTGTTTCTATACAGCCTTTAGTCGTGCATCTCGGCAAGAGTATGGGGCTGCAGATCCAGGATTTACAATGAGAAGAAAGATGGAACATTTACGGGAAGAGCGTGAACAGATAAGGCAGCTTCGCAATGTAAGTCACATTGACCTTGCACAGCTCCTTTACAGAAATAGGTTTCATTTGGCCAATCTGTATAGTGATTTTCTTTTTAATGCTTTTTCAAATTTTTGATCATACAATTAGTAATATGAATCATACCATACATTTAGGTAAGACATCTGCAATTTATCCTCATGTCTTTATAGAATCTTGAATCCAGATTAAAAGTAATTCTGCCTGATGACATAGGAGCTGCACTGATGGATGGGGTTGTTCTTTGCCATCTGGCCAATCACATAAGGCCACGCTCTGTAGCTAGTATTCATGTACCATCACCAGCGGTGGTAAGTAGTATCAACAGATAACTGTTTCTCCCAAGGAAAATACAAGTTTTAAAAACTGTCTTTAACTAATGCACTTAAGCAAATACAATTTCCAGTAACAACTACATTCTGTATAAAAGTGCTTGAAATATATGTCTTTCTGCTCTTGTCTTCCAGCCCAAGCTGAGTATGGCAAAATGTCGAAGAAATGTAGAAAATTTTCTTGATGCTTGCAAAAAGTTGGGTGTTTCCCAGGTAATTATCTGAAAGCATCATCATTTAACTATTAATCTGTTACATGCAAAGTAGAATCAGCAAATCATCTTCATAGTGAGGGATGAGTAATGTTTTGTGAACACAAATTTGAGTATCTTTTCCCCTCTCTATAATTTTCATGTTATATCTAAAAAAGCATTGTCTAATAAAAGGTTGTAATTATTTACTTATTCCTGTATGTTCTTGGAAAATTTTTTGAGTTTTAGGTGTATACTTCATTTTGAATTTCAGCTTCGTGTATGGGTGTGTGATAAGGTTACAGATCTATTCTCCTGCATACCAGCATCCCCAGTACCAGTTGTTGTTAAGGCTCATCTTTCTCCACTGAATATTCTTGAGACTCTTGTCCAGAATCTCTTGTTTGTAAATGGAAAGCTTCACTGCTATACTCCCAGTTTTACACGTTGATTTCTTTATGGCAGTAACACCCTGTCTGACTATTGCTTGGTGGCACATTTTGAAGATAGTGTGTAGATGGAGTTTTGTTCATTTTTAAGGTTATTTTGGCTGTAGTGATTCCCTTGCCTTTCCATATCAGTATATCAATTTCTGTGTTAGCTTGCCAAGTTCTACAAAATGGCCAACTTAAATTTTGCTTTAGATTGTGCTGGGTTTATAGACTAATTTGCAGATTATTGTTTTCTCTACAATTTTGTTCTTTTGATCCAGGAACATAAGATGTCTTTTCATTAATTGATAACTTTACAAATCAATGTAAACAGTGTATTATAGTTTTCAGCACATGAGGACTTTGCCTCTTTGGTAAAATTAAGTCTTTAGCATATACAATTAGTTTCTTAATTTAAATTTTTTTCAGATTTTTATTGCTATCATGTAGAGATACCCCTGATCTTTTACTCTGTGATCTTGCCAAACTCACTTCTAATAGATATGTTTGTATGACTTAGGATGTTCTCTACATAAAGTCATATCTGCAAGTAGGATGTAGTTTTGTAACCTAAGTGTAAAGTTTGCAGTTTGGGCATTTTTTATTTCTTCTTGTCTAAGTGTTTTGACTGGAGTCCCTCATATGAGGAACACTGGTAGTACCATTGAAAGTCTTTTCTTTCTTTATGTCAGGGAAATATTAAGTCCTTTATCTTCTAGTATGATATCACTAGGTCTTCCATGGCTGCCCTTCCAGTGACTTGATGCATTTTCCTGTTACTTTCTTATAGTCGTGCAGTCTGTTGCCTTAAAGAGTCTGCTTTCTCTGTATTCATCTGCCTTTCTTCTATATCACAGGCTATTTGTGTGTTAGTCTGTGAGTCAAATTTTTGTTTTCTTGTTTGGTTTCATTAACCCTTTTGTTCCATAATTCCCTTGGTAAATCACTGTTGCTCTTTGTAGATTTTGAAACCATGTAATATTAGTTATTCTGAGTTCTTTCAATTTTCATATACTTTTAGAGTAATTTATCAACTTATATAGAAAACGAAGAAAGCCTGATGAGATTACTATAGAATTTTTTTAAATTAATAGAACAAAATAATGTAGAATTATATCTAATAAAACAGTAGTTTTTCTTAACTTCTCTTAGCTATGTATATCTTTACTGGATTCTTCTTGAATTTCATTCACAATTAATTTGAATATTAATTTAATATCTGGTCCTTCATTGTTAACATACATTGATCTATGTATTTACAATCTTGCTAAGTCATTTCCTCACTCCCTCTCTCCAATGATGTTTTCTATGAATAGAAATAACCTCTTCTTCCATTGTGATCTTATTTTTGTTTTTTCTTTGTTGTTGCTGTTGTTTGTTTTTTTGTTTTGTTTTGAAGACAGGGTTTCTCTGTGTAGCCCTAGCAGTCCTGGATATCACTATACAGACCATACTGGTCTTGATGTCACAGAAATCCACCTGCTTCTGCTTCCCAAGTGCTGGGATTAAAGGGGTGCGCCACCCACCACCTGATGTGATCTGTTTTTTTTATGAATCATAATTTGGGTTTAATAAAGCTATCTTAGTATAGACTTAAGAATGAGGAATCCAAAAATGGAAGTACTCAGAAGAAAATAAGACACACTAGAGTATGGGTATGAGCTTCTTAAAGAAGAATCTTGGAAAGTAAGATATACCCAAGGGTAGGTAGGGTAGGATTTCTTCAAGGGAAAGTCATCTGTGGTCTATCCTGTATTTCCTTCCTTGCTTAAATGTCCTAAATTAATTTCCCAGTACAATCTTGAAGAAAATTGGCCAAAGTGGACATCCTTGTTTTATTCTACAGTTTAAAAGGAGACTTTAATTTTCCACCTTTGACATCTGACTTAATCTGTGTGTTTTACATAGATGACCTGTATCAACTGAGGGAGTTCCCATCTATTAGTAACTTTTTATCAGGAATGGATGATGAATTTAGCAACTGATTTTTCTGTATCAGCTGGTATGATTAAGTTGTTTCGTCTTCAGTTTCTCAATAATCTGAGTCACATTGATTAATTTTCTAGATATTAAATCAACCCTGAACTCCAGGGGAAAATTTCTCCTGATCATGATGCGTTTTGTTGTTACTGTTTTTTGTTATTGGACTCTGTTTTTAAACGTTTTGCTTAGATTTTTCACATTGATGTTTATGAGGAAGTTGGGTTTTATTTTTCTTTTAATGACTTAGTCTGTTAGACAGTATTGACCTGTCCATTGTATTTGTATCCCTTCCTCTTTTCTCAAACAATTGGACTGAATTTATGTTATTTTTCTGTAAAATATTTCACCAAGTTTATTAATTACCCATCTAGACCAGGGGCTTCTTTCTCCAAAGGTTTTTTGTTTTGTTTTGTTTTGTTTTTTGGTTTTTCGAGACGGGGTTTCTCTGTGTAGCTTTGCGCCTTTTCCTGGAACTCACTTGGTAGCCCAGGCTAGCCTCAAACTCACAGAGATCCGCCTGGCTCTGCCTCCCGAGTGCTGGGATTAAAGGCGTGCGCCACCACCGCCCGGCCCAAAGGTTTTTAAAACACAATTAATTTATAAAACAAATATAGACTGTTCTACCTATTGTCTTTGCATGAGTTTCAGTATGTTTTATCTTTACTTCTAGTTTGTGAAACTTATTATCATAATACTGTTTATAATACCACCTTGTTCATTTAGTACTTTTAAAATACCTTGTGACGTCTCTACTGATAATGGTAATTTGTATGTTCTCTTTTGCCTACCTAGAGGCGTATGAATTTTTTAAAATTAATTACCTTGCATTTTGTACTTTTTTCTATAGTTTTCTATATTTAGTACATTTTTCTCTCCCTCGACCCTAGCCCTTCATTACCCTCACTTACATCCAGACTGTTCATGTAGATCTCATCCATTTCTCCGTCATTGGGCGATCCCCATGTCTTTCTTGGGGTCCTGTTTTCCATGTAGCCTCCCTGGTGTTGTGAGTAGCAGTCCAGTCATTCTTGTTCCACATCTAGTATCCTCCTATGAGTGAGTACATACCGTTTGTCTTTCTGAGTCTGGGTTACCTCACTCAGGATGATTTTTTCTAGATCCATCCATTTGTCTGCAAACCTCATGATGTCATTGTTTTTCTCTGCTGAGTAGTATTCCATTGTATATATGTACCACATTTTATTTATCCATTCTTCAGTTGAAGGGCATCTAGGTTGTTTCCAGGTTCTGGCTATTACAAACAATGCTGCTATGAACATAGCTGAGCAAGTGCCCTTGTGGTATGATTGAGCATTCCTTGGGTATATGCCCGAGTGGTGGTATAGCTGAATCTTGAGGGAGATTGATTTCCAATTTTTTAAGAAAGCACCATATTAATTTCCAAAGTGGTTGCACAAGCTTGCATTCCCACCAGCAGTGGAGGAGAGTTCCCCTAACTCCACATCCTCTCCAGCATAAGATGTCTTCAGTGTTTTTGATCTTAGCCATTCTGACAGGCGTAAGGTGGTATCTCAGAGTTGTTTTGATTTGCATTTCCCTGATAATTAGGGAGGTTGAACAATTCCTTAAATGTCTTTCAGCCATTTGAGTTTCCTCTGTTGAGAATTCTCTGTACATTTTTCTCAGTTCTTGGCTATTTCCCTCTGTTTTTTCAGATAACTTTATTTATTTATTTTACATGCTGGCCACAGTTTCCCCTCCCTTCTCTCCTCCCAATCCCTCCCCTCCACCCCTTTCTGTTCTCACCCACCTCCCAATCTACTCCACCTCATTACTGTTCAAGAAAGGGCAGATCTCTCATGAGTATCAACAAAACATGGCATTATCGAGTTGCAGTAAGACTAAGCACCTCCCCTTGTATTAAGGCTGGTCAAGGCATCCCAGTATGGGCAATAGGGTCCCAAAAGCCAGTAAAAAAGTCAGAAACAGCCCTTGTTCCCACTGTTAGGAGTCCCACAAGAGGACCAAGCTACACAACTGTAACATATATGAAGAGTGCCTAGTTGTTTGGCATTGGCTTAATTTGTTCTTTTTGTAGTTTCTAAGGAGGGAGCTATTGTCTTTGCTTTGAAACTTGTTTTTTATAATAATATTAATTGATTATTTGATTTTTTGAGTAAAATACTAGAAGAACACTAAATGTAGCAATGAAAATTGAGATGCAAATGTCATTTTCAAGGCTCCTTTAGATATCTTCAGTAGTATTTGGTGAATACTAATTTGGTTATAAAGGAAAAAAGAAGGAGGAGGCTGTTACACTTCCTATTTTTGTATCAGTGTAGTTTGAAGAATGACTGAGATACAAAAATCCAAAAGATTAACCTCATTTGTTGAAGCAGTTCTGTCATGGACATGTTGATTTTGACGTATCTGTAGGACATATATTTGGTCATGGCTCACTCGCATTTGCTTGATGTACCTTTAGTGGGAATAAAGATTTGGAATTCAGGGTGGAAACAAGAATTAAAATTATTAGATAGAATACTAAGGAGTGATGTAGTGAAAATAAGAGAAGAATGAATATAAAATTCTTGGAAATATGTAGGACATTAGAAGAAGATTGGTAAAGACTACTGTAATTTGAAGCCCAATTGCTGTAGGCAAGTTGAAGAACTCAACAGATTGGTATCATAGAAAAAAACATAGGGATAAGGTTTCAAGTAAAGCTCTGATTAAAGATCGACATAACAGAGCAATCAAATATGTGTGTGCAACATTTGACATTTAAGAAGGTGTTGGTGATTTTGAACACAGCAACTTTAGTGAGTGGATACATTAGAGGCAGCTGTAAGACAGCAGAGACTGAGTAATGTTGACATACTCCTCAACAAACTGTTTCTGAGTAGAGATAGATGTATAAGGGTGAAATGATGGCATTAGAGACCAAGCTAATATCTATAATCCCTTTCTTAGTATAAATTGTGAACCTAGCCATATTTTATATTATAATTAAGAAGAAAAATGTTGAATTATTGTATTATTTACTTTAAGTTGAAGAGAAAACATGTTTAAAAAATCTGCTTCTTGGGGTTGGAGAGATGGCTCAGCAGTTACAAGTACCAGCTACTTTTCTAGAGGTCCTGAGTTCAATTTCCAGCACCCACATGGCATCTCACAACTGTCTATAACTGTATTCCCATGATATCCAATGCCCTCTTCTGGTGTGCAGCTGACAGAACATCTATCTACATCAAAAAATAAAGAACAAAATCATTTTTAATAATCTGATTCTTTGCATTGAGTTGAAGAGAAGGGGTATATGGGCAGGTTTGGAGGAAGGAAAGAGAAGGGGGAAATGAAATGTTGCAATTATAATCTCAAAAAATAAAATAAATAATTTAATAAACGAATACAATTATAAAATCTGTTCCAGACTTAAAGATCTCTCTGGCTGCTAAAGAATGGACATTCAAATCTCCTTTTCTCTTTACCCAGGAGAGACTCTGCTTGCCTCACCATATTTTGGAAGAACGAGGTCTTGTGAAAGTCGGTGTTACGGTTCAAGCACTCCTTGAATTGCCTACTACCAAGGCATCACAGCTTTCTATGGCTTGATGTGATGATGAAAAAACTACACGTGTATAATTTCATGTATTTGAAATGATTTCGGAGATCTCAAAATCATGGAGAAGAATGTCCAGTAAAAATAGTTTGCCTTAGGTTGCTTTTTTCAAAATTACATTAAGATCACAGATTTAAACTTTTGAGTTGTCCAAACAATTTTTGGAGGAAAATTGGATTAATTTAATAGGAGTTTTGATAAATTAAAAATTTGCTTTTATTATGTAATTCAAGAACCTTGACTAATTTTCAAAATGATGATTGATACAAAATTAAAACATGCTTTCAATTTAACAATTACATTAAGTTGAATATTTTTACATCACCGTATACTAGTAAACATCTGGGTAAAAGTAATCATATTTTAGGATAGCAGTTCTATATTTGAGTTATTTCATATACTTCTAGTTTGTACACAATCTCTTCAATATTTTGTCTTTGTTTCCTAGGAAAATAATGAATAGAAAAAAAAAAACAAAACCCTGGCATTATTCAATTCTTTTAGTATTATCAGTTGGTGCCAAAATATTTTCATTTATATTGTAGGTTGTTTACATGTGAAGTGCCTGTGTAATTGATGAATCTCAAATAGTCTTAAGCATTTTTGCTATTTCTTTTTATGTATTAATAGAATCAATGGAATTTTTAAATATTTTGGTAGATTTTGTACGGTCAGTAATACGTGAGGATTCAAATGTGCCTCACATTGGTGGTTTCTTAGTTAACCCATTGCAGTTTTCATTAAATTGGTTCTTTCATGTTGTCAAAAATGTTAATGTGCTTAATTTATGCTATTTAATTTTGCAAAAGCATACTCATCTTTTAAATTGTTTTATCTGAAGAGTATTTTATTTCTGTGTTGGAAACATTACACAAAACAGTAAGACTTTGGAGGGCCAGGGAAGTACTAATTGTCAAGGACATTTTGATGCAACTGTCAGTGTTTGGGTTTATATCTTGACTTATCAGAACAATAAGTACATCAGTGCTGCCTTCCATATTCAGAGAGCAGCCATTGAGAAACAGGGTTTGATTCAAAATTTGGCCATTTCTGGACCATGTACACCTTGTGATCCTCAAGTAACTTGATGTTGAATTAAACAGTCTGTTTCATGAAATAGTATGTTCTGTAAAGTCCTTGCTTGATTTGAAGATGGATAAACTTACGATGGTAGTAGTGCAGGAATTTTTCCAAAACATTACTGTGATGAATAACTCAGTTTATTATAGAAGAGCCTTCATATTCACTTTTGTAGTAGCCAAGCAAGTATCATTTCTTAATTGTGTGATTATTTGCACTTGTTACCTCTTAATATGGATGCAACTTAATAAAAAAAAATGTTGGCCTGAATATTTCAAAGGACATTTATAAAATGTAAAATGTCATGTGCCAAATACTATGGTAAGGATTGGTTTTAGGAATAATTCTACATTTTCTTTTGGTCAGTTGTCAGGAAGCCATATTTTTGAATTTTGGCTTCAGAATATAGATGTGTTCTTTTCATTCCCCATGAGTCAAATTGGAGCTATGGAAGAGTAAAAGCTTTTTATTATTGTAAGTTTTAAGAATTAAATTATTAATAACTTATTATTTAAATATTTGATCTAATTAGATATGATAAAAATAGTTGGATCTGAAAAATATCCCCATTGACAATGAATCTCCTTAGTGAAAATTTGGATAATATAGCTAATTTAGTAAATACCTTAGCTGATAAATTTTTAATTTAGACAGTTGACAGCATTACAAATTTAAAAAAATTAACAACCAAAACAATCATTCATACCTCTCTCATGGTTATTGTGCTTTAGAATTTCTCTTATTAATTAATCTTGTGTTATTTTCCAAGTATTTTGTGCTTTGTTATTATTGAAATAGTTGTGAAACTTCAGGCAATTCTTTTACTACATTTCACTTGTCAGTTAGCTATTACCTTATAGAGAAAAGACACCAGAACTTCAGTGCTCATTCTTTATAGCAAATAAAGCTTCTTTTCAAGAGGGGTCCCCTTGAGGTCTGTAACACAGCAGTTCAATTATTATTGTGCCAAAAGGCATTACCAATATCACTTCCAATGCGGTTTCATTATAGTCCACAATGACAACCTTATACCAAGATCCTCACACGTTTCTGTTAGTAGTTTTTTAGTGTAAATTTATTCTAAATGTTTTCTATGGCTTATTATATACTTACTTCATCAGTTATTGCATTAACAATTAACAAATCACAATGGTTTTGTGATTTGAGGAGAATTGAATAATCAAAGAATATTTTATTGGGCCCAAAATATCATTACATAGCTACTTCTGTTAAATTTTATGACCATATGGCACAAGAAGGAAGTGATGTTGGATATGTTTGAATTGAAATGAGTAAAAATGCATAACCATTTGTTTAATACTTATCTTTATAGAATGCTAGTTTAATGACTTTTCTAACTGAATTTTTTGAAGAATTCAGAAATGTTTGTATTAGTCACAGATTTATCATAATTGATTTTCTGATGCATTTAAAAAATGGAACACTAAATGTATATTACCGATGCAAACTGTGGATAAAATTAAATGAAAAAAAATCTAAGCTGGAACTCCATTTCTTCCTTTCAGTCGTCTCTCTATCAATATCAGCACCTTTTTTGGTCAGTATTTGAGAGTTTGTGTCTCTGGTCCCCACCGCGGATGAACATTCAAACCTTGAGTGCTGGCAGTGTTGCTCAGTGAGTGAAAGGGCTTGCAGTGAAGGCTGACAACCCAAGTTTGACTGGTTTTGTGGGTACCCATGTTTTTAAACTCCACAAGTGCACTTTGGCACACTTTTGACCCACACAAAACAAATAAAACCTTTGATAAGTTAGATATTCCTACGGGGCTCTTTTAGTTGGGCATGGTGGTGCACCCAGAATCCTGCCTCCTAGGGAGTCTGAAGTGAGAGAATCTCTTGAAACCAGCAGTTTAAGGCTAGCTTGACAGATAATGAGAATTTGTCTCAGAAACTAAAGGACAAGAGCAACCAATGCAACGAAAGCTGAAAGCTGAAGTAGATGGTTGTAAGAGTCCTGATGGCTTTTACACCATGTTATTTTCAAGACAGTTTAGTTTAAAATGTATTAAGGTATTAAGCTATCTTTACAATCTAATGTTATCAACATATGATGTAAGCTCTATACGACAAGAAAACTTTCTTTAAAACAACATATAGAATAGGTCAATATGTGATTGCTTTAAAGTACTTTTTAGTGCTTTATATGCTACTGAATTATAACAAATTATTCTTTCACTTTCAATTGTAATTTTTCTAAACATGCTCATATTTAATTGGGCATTGTGGCTCACCATTATAATTCGCCCAGGACAGGAGGATTACAGTGAGTTTGGGAACAGCCTTTACTACATAATGAGACGTCTTCTCAAAAAATAAATTCCCAAAGCACATATTTTTTAAAGTAACTATTTTAATTTGTTTATAGTTTTGCTTGACCCTAAATGTAGAACATTTATATATTGCAAAATGCTATTGATGCTGTTGAGAATATTGCTATAGTTACCTTAAACATACACATTTAAACGAGTACTTAAGTAAATAGCTATTTGATAAAAGGTGTTTAAAGATAATCCAAGTTTATTGCAGAATTTTGAGTGATCTTTAACAAGCACTAGGCTTCCTTTCTCCTTTAATAAATCTATAGTTTTTATATTCAGCATTAGATGGCCCTAGAATAGATTCTCAACCACCTATACCAGTGTATGGAAAACCCTAAAGGGCACATGCATTATTGTACATATGATTATTATTGTACATAAGATTGATTTGTAAATGCCAAGATAGCTGCTATAATTTATAAAATGAAAAGTATCAAAGCCATGTGTTTTAAGCTACAATGTCTTTTATTTCCATATTTTAAACATGAAACATGAAAGTTTCCCTTATATGTATGATTTTAGGTGGCTTAGTCTTTCCACAATAGAGTGTGTACCTACCTGTTTAATGTAAGGTCCAGGGTCAAAGTTTTGTTGCCACATAAAATCTTGCTGTTTTGGAAATTCTGGTGTAGAATGAGAATTCTATATATGAACAGTTAATAAGTTATGGCAGTTATAACAAAAATAGTTTATTGATAGAAATTTGATAGTTGAGTCATTTGAAAGTTACTAAAATGAATTCTTTAAAATGTGATTATTTTAAAATATTAAGTTGGTCCATAATATTTTGTTTCTCAAATATAAAACTTTGATTACTCTGCCACTTAATGGTAGGAAAAATTAATTTACTACTGATACACATTAATTACCTGTCTACAAAAGTAGTTAAGGAATATATAGGATTTTACATATGTAAAACACATTTTCAATAACAAATTGAGTTTGCTAAAAGTCCTTACTCAGACCCCTCACTAACTTATAGTGTAAACAAATGTAAAACAATGCATTATAATTTATGATATAGTAATTAAAATTATACCTTGCAGCTGTGATGCATAAGCCTGTGTATGCATATGGGGTTTTTATTTGTTGGCCTGTGTTGTCTAGTAGGGGCAGTGCCACCCTTTTGTAGGGTAATTCCATGTATTTTCTTTTTACAATATGTGTATGTATGTATTTTAGGAAGCTTTAAAGTATTAGCTTTCCATACGAGCTTTATCAAGGCCTTTGGTGCTGCTTATGTTCCCACTTCCTCTTCTATCCTGCTCTCACATTGCACCGTCTACTCCAATTTACCCCCTTGATCCATTCTGGTTTATATACCACCGTGTTCTACTATCAATTGGACGCTCCCCTGTGGTGCTTTGCTAATTAATTGACCTATGAGTATTCCAGATGAAACAGATATTTGAAGATTAAAAGCTAACATTTATAAATGAGAGAAAGCATGACATCTGTCTTTCTGGGTTAGGGTTAACTCACTCACAATGATTGCTTTGAACTCCATTTGTTTACCTAAGCCCACACTCAAAGAGACACATGATTGTTTAATAAAGATGTCAATAATACACTTTGGAGACAAGACAAAATCTTCAACCAGTGGTGCTAGCCAAACTGGGTGGCTACATGCAGAAGAATACAACTAAATCGTTGTCACTCATGCTGCACAAAGCACAACCCCAAATGCATCAGCAATATTCACATAAGGCCCAATAACCTGAAACTGACAGAGGGGAAAGCAGAGAATATGCTTGAACTCATTGGGCCAGGAAGGGACTCTGACCAGGACACCAGTATTGTAGACTTAGGAGCAACAATTAGTCAATGGGACCTCATAAAACTAAAAGGCTTTTTGTTCAGCAAGACACCACAATTCTAGTCTAGAGGCTGCCCACAGAATGGGAGGCAAACTACTAGTTACACATCGGACAGAGTTTTTCTAGAACATACAAAGAACTAAAAAAACTGAAAAGAAAACAACTCAATTAAGAGCACATACTGCCCTTGAAGAGCACACAGGTTCAGTTCCCAGCACCCACACCAGGCAATTCACAACTGTCTCTAACTCTATTTCCAGGAGAATTTGATGCCTCTAACCTCAGAGGACTTTTGTAATCACATGCACATGCCCCCCCAAGTATATATCATTAAAAAATAAATATTTAAAAACCTTGAAACTCAAAATAGAAGGAACATATCTCAACATAAAGACTGCATATGGCAAACCTCTGGCCAACATGATATTAAAAGCGGAAGAACTTGAAGATTTTCCACTATTATAATGAACAAGATGAATTTGATACTGTCTACATTTAATAAAGTATTCCAAGGGCACGAAGATTAGAAAAACAAGTGAAAGGGATCCAAATGGGAAAGGAAGATTTCAAAGTATCTTATTCTGTAGACAATTTGTTTCTACGGCTAAGAGTCCTTGGAGACTTTGCCAAGAACTCTTGACACTGGTAAATACTGTCAGCAAAGTGGCTGAATACACACACTAGCCTTTCTATAAACCAGTGAGACATACTTAAAAAATCTCTATAGAAACAATCTCCTTCACAATAGCCTTAGAAAACTCTCTGGAATAAACTTAACCAAGGATGTGAAAAGCCCCTGTAAGAAAAATTTTAAACACTGAAGAAATGGAGGAAAAGATAACAAGATGGGAAAACCTCTCGTGCTTATTGATCAGAAAAACTGACAATGTGAAAATGACTGTCTTGCCAAAAGCTGTGTACAAGTTTAATGCAATCTTGAGCAAAAAGAAGACTTGATTGCTATGGCTTTGTAGCATAACTTGAAATCAAACATGGTGATGTCACCAAGAGTAGTCTTTTTGCTCATGATTGCTTCCATGTGAATTTTAAATAGTGTGTGTGTGTGTGTGTGTGTGTGTGTGTGTGTGTGTGTGTGAGAGAGAGAGAGAGAGAGAGAGAGAGAGAGAGAGAGAGAGAGAGAGAGAGAGAGAGAGAGATCATTGAAAAAGGAATGTGTTTTTGAGAGCACACATGAAGGAATAGTTACTTCTGTGTACCTGGTGGAGTGTGGGGACTGTGGAGGAAATGAATAGAAAGCTGAGGGTTCAAGGTGAAGTTTATGTGTTGGATCTTAAGCTTGAGATGAAGGTGATGAGAAAAATCATGAGGGGAAAACAAAAAACAACCAGACCTGGAACACTATTCTTCAGCTATGGATACTTTATTAGAAGAGGGAAATGGAAGCAAGTTATGAGAGATGAAGTTGGAGATGTACACTAGATTATGTTGTGGAAATCCTTGAATGTCATGCTAATAAGTTTAGCTATAGTTTTACAATAAATGATAATGGAAGATTCTAAGTGAAGGACCATTTAGATTATGCTTCCAGAGAGATGAATGGACAGTAGTCTGGCTGATAGTTTTAAGAGGAAAGAAACAAATGAAATCTGAGAGACTAATTAAGATATTTGGCAATGAGTTATGAGGTGAAGGATTGCAGCGAGAAATTTTCAAAGGTGATATTCACAGATCTATACCGGTTGGCCTTAGACATCAAAAATATTCTGCCATTCCTGCCTAACTGTCAATCTTCACCTTCCCTCCTCTCCTCCAAATCCAATACTCTAGTCACTGCCATCTCTGGTAGATCAACTTCTGCAGCCTTCCCCTCCCCGTCTTCCCCCATCTCCAGTGGATTACACAGATCTTCTCTAGCCTTCTCCCAACTCATTCCCTTATGCAAACTCCCAACCCCAGCAGGCATTCCCTGGAAACGCACCATCCAAGCCTTCCAGAGAGGCAAGTAGGCCAGCAAAGCAGATAGATGAAGTTTAGATCCTCACTCTTCCTATTCTCCTCAAAATTCAATACCTCAGTCTCATCTTCAGCTCTGTAGCAAACTACCTATTGTGGCCTCTCTTCCTTTCTGCCCCACTTCTAAGAGAACTAAGAAGATCCTGATGGAATTTTTACACTGCTTTCCTCTATTGGTGAAATTATTAAGGCCACTCCACGTAGTTAAAAGGGAGGTTTATTTTGTGGGGTAACTTACAAGTGAAGGGATAGGTAACAGGGTCTGGGAAAGGTGTAGCACAGTCCGGTGGTGTTCTTTGAAGAACTCTGCTCGATCTACCTCCAGCGTCCAGGGTCCAGGAACCAAGAGAGCTGGCCCATCTGGATCTCG